AGACTTTATCACTGGCGACGATGACTTCCCTATTTTTATTGTTAAAGATTGTGTACTCATTTTTAGCAAACTTTTAATGTCTTCTTTTAATTAATGTATATCTAAAAAATGTGTGTTTTAATATGGAAAAAATCGTACTGTTTTCAAAAAGGGTGATCAATTTAACTTAGAAAATTATTAACCTATTAATATTCTGGACGTAATTGTCCATGAAGGTCTTTGAGATGTTGTTATACTCTACAATGTATTCTGATCGTTGTAGCTTAACTAATTTGGGAAAAATGACATAGTTCATGGGGATAACTTGGAAAAACGGCAACAAGTATTTTGCACTAATTTCACAAAGATGTTTGACAGTTTAGATCATAGAATACTTCATCTTTGAGGAGGTCTGGTGGACATTTGACGATTTTTCTTCATCCCCTCTCATTTTATATATTTGCAGATTAAGATATAATTTCGCAAAAATAGAGAAGAGAAGCTCTGGCTCTATGTCTTAAAAAGAGAATTTACCACATAGTCACAAAGACGTTTGACAGATTGGATATTTCTTTCTAAACGGATCTGTTTCAGATTTAGTAGCAATTCTGTGAACTTAATTTCATCCTATCTATCATCAACAGATTAGGCTATACGAATTGTAATGATTTTAATACTATCACTTTGACTGCTTCATCTACAGTCCCATAAGATTTTAACATTGCACCACTTCTCTTCAATAGCTATTTGAATAAACTTTTAAGTCGTCCTGATTAATGTGCTTACTTAGGCTAATGCCTTAAAGCTAGATGTCCACAAAGAGAGTTTCAAATAAGTTTCATGAAAAATTTATCTAAAACGTGTTTCCACAGAACATAGATATTTCTGTGGAACACCCGAGTTCACAAATTTTTCTCTCATGATATAAGGTGTTTCTGAATACGCTGTTTCCACAGTTGTCAATGTTTTGTATCTGGACGGCAAACACGTTGTCATTAAAGCATCTAAACTTAGTGGAAGTCTGCACTACAATTATAAAGGCACGCATAGTGTACTATTAATGGCAGTGGCTGAGACATACTATAAATTTCAATACATTAATGTTGGAACTTTTGAATGAATTTCTGATGAAGGCGTTTTTATTGGATGCTCTTTGTCAAAGAAGCTTTGCTAATGATAGTTAAAAATTTCCAAAACCTAGACCACTACCAGAACGAACTAAGCCAATTCCCGTTTAGTTATCGTAGCTGATGACACTTTTTCCATAATATAATATTAATTCCATAATATTCAACTACCGGCTATATTATACGGGCACGCAGAATAATTAAGAATGCTTTTGAGCTAAGAAGACCAATTGAATTAGAACCTGTAAAAGTGATCCTTATTGTATCTGTCATATGTGTGTTGTATTTTTTAATGACGCCGTCTAAAACACTATACGCTCTTTATGGCAGTTTCGATGTGGAGGATCACGAAAAGTGGCACAATACAAAGTCTTGCTGAATCTACAAGCTAATACTAACCTTTGCGGAAATTTGGGAGCCAAAGATGTGCAACTGACATTTACACAATATTTCTACCATGAAGGAAAAGTTCCATGGCAATAGAAATATACCGTATTTTCTCGAATCTTATCCGCACTCGAATCTAATCCGCACCCCGATTTTAAAAATGCAATGATGGTAAAAAAAGTTGGTTTTCCAATGTAATCCACATCCGATTGTAATCCGCATTTGATTTTAGAGCATACAAAATTTGTAAAAAGGGTGCGGATTAGATTCGAGAAAATACGGTATATAAAAAATGTATGATTAAACTTACAAATGAATCCATTGTTGTCGGTCAATCTATGAAGTTTAAAATTCCCATTTCATTTCAAAATTTTCTCCTACTGCCTGGCCGCGTTTAGTGTGTTTTAATTTCTTCACTTCTTGAGTCGGAACTACCAAATTATTTGAAATTTCATCGATAGCTGATTTCAAAAGCTTTTTATTTTTATAGTTTTTGGACGAACAGTCCCACAAGTTAGGATTGGATTCAAATCATTTAATTAACGCAGTGTCATAGTTCTTGTCCAATTAATAATACATTCTTTTCTTTTAAAACTTTTTTTTTCATTTGCAGGAACTCATGTGCAGCGCGTGAAATACATAAATGTCTCGTGTGAAATCCGCAAGGGTCATGTTTACATGTAAAAGAAATAAAACTTGTTTCAGGAGATTATCTCTATATCACATATTTTAGTCCTTATTTCCACAAAGAAATTAAAGTTATGCTGCGATTTTTATATTATGAGACGAAAATCTCATGAGACATTCTCATTGTGGATTCGCACCTTAATATTTGCTCGATTAAGATACCCCTAAAGGTTGTGTGCAGCGTAGTAATAAGTAGTGGTATTTTCTTGTCTATTTATCATACGAAATTATTTAAATGTGTAATTTTTCAGCTTATGGGTGGCTTTTATGTATTCGGTTATCACCGTTTGAGTCATGACAGTTACCTGGTTAAATTTTACCTTCCTCATGGCAACTCGCGTTATGTTGCTATCTACCTGCAACATTATCGAGAACAAGTTCAGACATGCGTAGGTATAATCTGCGTGGGCGTCTTATAGGCAGAAGCCGGGATGAGTTTTGTCAAAATAACACACTTTAACAGGAATATTGCTTGAGTTGACCTAAGATAGCAGAATGAGCGGGGGACAGTAATGACACTGTATGCTGCTTCGTAGTGCACCGCCAGCAACGCTGGCGATGTTTGAGGTATCATTGCAGTTTATGTGCCGATCGACTCGTGAGCGGCATTTATTAAAAGTTTAATATTAATAGACACTATCCATTTATATTCTGTGCAAAACAGAATCGATCTTAACATAACCAAACGTCTTCTTGTATCATACATCGGGTGTAGTAACCCAATATCGTTTAACAATTGTGGATAATTTGAGTAAATACTCAGAGAATATTAAAGGCTATCTATTATGGATTTTCCTTCATTCTTCGTTCGAATTGGATTTAAAATATTCAGGATATTTCAGGGTTTAAGCCCCAATTCCTAAAATAGAGTCTTTGGCAATACCACATAAATATACTTTTCCCGTGTACACCATGAATAAATTACATCTTAGGTTCCCTAGAAGACTTTCGATATCTTCGACATACAAGTTCCTTTGACAATACTTATGACTGGAGATGGTATATGATCGTAAACCATTAGTAGCCAGAGAAGCGGGGTAGTGTTACATTTGATTCCATGCATCCATCTACTTTTTCCAGAAATTGTGGTAGAGCGTTATTAAACACCGTCAATGTCCAAGAAAGCAGAACTTCCTTCTCAATAAGAGATCTGCATACTCTATCTACCAGATTTTGTAGAGCTAGTTTAGCTGAGTTTCCTGCTTTGTTAACTATGTTTAGAATGGATATCAGCTCTTGTCTAACGTAGCAATAAAAAACGTTATGTCTAAAATTTCTGTTTTATTTCTCGTAATAAAGATTGATTCACCTCTGCCATTGTTGCCGCTGCACAAGGGATGTTTGCATCGATTGACTTCGAACCAGTTGCTCAAGAAGGTTGCAACATGGCACCCGAAACGTCAAACCTTTTATTAAAAGACGCACGGCAAAACCCGAAAGTTTCTAGTGTTAGTTCTAGTTTTAGTTCTAATGTTAGTTTAATTCACACCGGCCGTGAAAGCCTTCGTACTTATAAGATATAATTTCTCAAAAATAGAGAAGAGAAGCTCTGGGTTTATCCCTAAAGAACAGAATTTACCACATAGTCTACTGAGGACATTGATATATCCAGTGTTCTTTAGCCATGACTTCCGGACAAAATATATCTCAAGATAGAGAAATACGTACAATTCAAATGATAGATACCAAAATGTACACACCAATATTGTACTTCAAAAATCACTAATATACAAGCGTTTCCAATTCGTTGAACTTTGAAATTTGGTGAACGTGTTCTATAAATATAATATATGCATAATTGTACAAATAAAAAGCTGCACTTTTGGCAATAGATAACGCTATTCGGAACTTATAAAGTAAGTTACAGTAAATAAAAAAGTCGTCCTTAAATAATCTAATCGGTGTGCAAATAATATTTACAAAATCTAGTAAGACAATTTTTAAACATAATTGATCTAAACTCATGTTTAAAGCTAGATAATATTCCATTTTGTTTAATATTTAATTTTAAGGTTTTTATAGGTAAAAATTACAAAGAGTAATTAGGACCTTTAACTTTTCAAATTGATTATGACACTAGGCGATCAAAATAATTAAAAATTGGAATTTAAATTTGTAGATTGTTCAATATATTTTAATAATTTCCTCCTAGAAAGATAAATTTATCGTTAAACACCTAATAGCTATATACTTAATACATTATTTGTTGTTTTAACATCTCCTAACGGTTTTCAATCAACAGTAATATTATTCTTGACAAACATATTAATAAAGCTATAGTTTTTTAGGTTAACTAACAGTTATTTTTTAAGTAAACCATTTAACGTTTTTCGATTTAGCAACGTAACGACGACGTCAAGTCGATTAAATGCGAGCTTTTAACATGGAATTTATTGCCTTGTTAAGTCGGCGCTTTAAATGTAAGGAAGAAGGGGATAATATTAAAGCCCATAATTTTACATTCTCACATTGCGTATAGATATAAATTCTCACTTGTAATCTTGAATATGTACTTATTGACCGTTAAGAACGTTTCGATATTAAGAAAAAAACGATGTAATTTGAGACCGTGCCGTAAAAATCTAAAAATACTCCGCTCCATTTAGCCAAATTATACCGCAACGTTACAGATGGTATGGTTAAAATACGAACATTTTAGTTCAACATCATGAAAATCGATAACGCTATTTGCCGAAACGTTTTCGTTATTTGTACGTTTAGAAAAACTAATCGCGCGTTTATTGAAAATTAATTCAAATTTAATTTTTGTTTATGTGCTTAAAATCAATTACATTTCTAATTTCATTTTCTACTTTAAAGGGCCGACACACGAAAACTGGTCAATTGGCCGCCATAAAAGTAATGGATGTAACCGAGGAGGAAGAGGAAGAAATCAAATTGGAAATTAATGTTTTAAAACGGTTTTCGAATCACAGAAACATTGCCACTTACTATGGTGCTTTCATTAAGAAAAGTCCACCTGGAAAAGATGACCAACTGTGGCTCGTTATGGAATATTGCGGAGCAGGTATTGTATCAATTTAAAAATAATTCAAAACCGAATGTTATTCGTATTAAAGATGACTTAGAAAAAATTTAAAACTAATGAGATTACAGTTTATTGACTGTGCTAGCAGTACAACTTAAATCCTCTTCATATAATCTTTCATTTACAGTTTAAATTTATATTTTATACTTAAATATTAAAAGAACTAAAATGTGAATGTTTAGGGTTTAAATTTAAATAATTTTTAGGATCTGTAACGGACTTGGTAAAGTCAACAAAAGGCCAGTCTTTAAAAGAAGAATGGATAGCATATATAAGTAGGGAAATACTCCGTGGCCTTTCCTATCTGCACTTAAACAAAGTCATTCACCGTGATATCAAAGGCCAGAACGTTTTATTAACAGATAACGCCGAAGTCAAATTAGGTATTTACTCATCTCACTTTAATTAAAAAAATATATTTAACCAAATCATTTCTTGTTCTCTTAAATAGTTGATTTTGGAGTATCAGCTCAACTTGATAGAACAATAGGTCGTCGAAATACGTTCATAGGAACACCATATTGGATGGCCCCCGAGGTGATAGCTTGCGATGAAAACCCTGAGGCTACGTACGATAACCGCAGCGATTTGTGGTCACTAGGAATAACCGCTTTGGAAATGGCCGAGTCGCAACCGCCCTTATGCGAATTGCATCCGATGCGGGCACTATTTCTTATACCGCGAAATCCGCCGCCGCGACTCAAGAGCAAAAAGTGGAATAAAAAGTTTCATGGATTCATCGAAACGGTTTTGGTTAAAGACTACCATGACAGACCGTACACGGACCAATTGCTCAAGCATCCGTTCATACGGGACCAACCAACCGAACGACAAGTCAGGATCCAGCTCAAGGACCACATTGATCGGTGTAAAAAGCGTAAACAAGAAAAGGAACGTGAGGATTATAGGTAATTTATCAAGAAAATAAAATCGGAATGAAAAGTCTACGTTGCCTTTTGATTGGGCGACTAATATTTGTTTATGTAGCGATCGCTTTAGGTATTCTGGTTCGGAAAATGAAGAGGAGGAAACGGCATTACCTGGAGAACCAAGTAGTATAGTTCAAGCACCTGGGGATACTTTACGTAGAAACTTCCAGAAGATACAAGAAGGTGGAACACCTGCAGAACTACCTCCAAGGTAAATTTATTTTTAAAAATATTATAGAAAAAACGTAATTTATAAGCATAATTTTGCCAAAAAGAAAGTTTTTATTCTTGATTCCATTATTGAAGAGATGCAATGGGTTGGTTAGCAATTGTTATTTCAAATTCCATAATTGTTTAAGATTTGAGCTAAATTAAGTCTCAACAACTAATGTTGTTGTGTATAACTCATAAGAACTGTTCTTTTTTAATTATTTCTTGATAGAGGTATTGAGGTAGGGTGCACATCATTCTTCTTGATTTGAAAACCTAGGTCTTTGCTTAAATGATTCTTGAATTCAAAATTGATCAATTAGACACATGCATTAATAGAAGAAATGCATCAGATTGATAAACAGTTAATGCTACAATCAAACTGGAGTATACTCCAGAGCTCATCCAGACAGTTTTTGAGCAGTTCCATGTTCGATTAAATGCCCAAGTGTGATTTAGTAAATCTAAAATCCATGCAACAATTTTAGTTGAATTAGATACGTCATAACAGAAGCGATGCATAACATTGATTATGTATTAGTACGAATTTTAAAATAACAAAAAAAATAAAATTCTAGAGTGAACTCAAATTAATTTAAGACATCATGCAACGTTTGTCTTGCAAATTCGGAAATCCCAAACATAAAATGATGTCTTTCAACATCAAGACAAAAACTTAAGTTGGTTGCAATATTCTTGATGACAGTCTTGAGTTCTCAAATTTAACTTTCCTTCTTCTAGTTTTTTATTTATTCTTATTATCAACTTGCAAGAATTACCTAAACGCTATTGCTCATTTTCCCGCGCTTTTTTATCATTGACCTTCATCCTTTGCCCAATTGCTCACTCGTGAAGGTTGTTTAGCACTATTGCGTGCGCTTTGTTATTACTGAGTTTCTTCTTTTGACCAACCACTGACTCGTGAAGAGCTGTTTGCACGCTTCTGTGCACTTTGTTATCATTGATCTTCGTCTTTTGATCAATTTCTAACTTATTAATAATGTCTAAAACGCATGAGACAATCACTGACATAGATTGTCTCATGCATAGCTGCGTAGATAGTTTCGTAGAATTTATAAGCAGGAAAGCTTTCAGTACAATGCTTTTCTAGGTGGAGAAAGCTTCATCAAGTTAACTAGTATTTTCCAAGTGCGGGTAAGTTCTCAGTCATCTTCTCTACTTCTCTATTCATATTGTTCGTATGTCGATGGATCTTTATCGCTCCTCTTGTCATTCTTTGGAAATAATTTCCGGCACTGGCTACCCCTCGGTCTTATCGAAAATTATGATGTGTCTGTTTTTCTGAAAATGCTCTGCGACTGCCGATTGCAGAATCTTATTTAGCCGGACGTATGGCCCACAACTTCATGGTTAGCTTGTCTTCAGCTATTGGAAGAGCGTTCCGAATTTAGTTGACCGTACACGATATCGTTCTTCTTCAGACACCTTGGAATCTGCTCCTTCACATCTGAAACATAAGAGAATCAGATAAAACCGGCTGGTGTAGTACTTACCGTATCTGTTTACGTTGCTTGATGGCTCGCTGGATATTCCTCAGACTGCAGCCAGTCTTCTGGAGTACATCTACCAGAAATCCTTCTTCTTCTGAATAGGACTTGCATCACTGACCTCATCTTTTGTGGCTGGTGATGGGATTAAGCCTGTAGATACCTGTTTGTGTGTGTCTTCTTCCAATACACTCCCAGTTCCTTCCTCCATTTCCAACCTTCTTAGTGACTAAAAGATCTTGGAAAGGTAACTGTTGCATCTTTTGTTTCTATAGTAAATTTGATCATGGGGGTTCGCGAGTTAAAGTGATTTAGGAATGCCAGATCACAAATATTTCCTAGAATTTATTCTTTAAGACTTTCTAAAGAATTTCTTTAATTTTACAGAGATTTTCCAGAAAATTTCTTAAGAAATCTGGAGATTTACAAGGATTTCCATTAATTTCTGCGGGTTATAAGTTTCAGAAGATTTCTGTCATATTTTCTTGGAATTAAATGTAAAAGAACTCAAATTTTCTCAGCATTTCCGCAAGATTTCAGCTAATGTTAATGAATGTCAAAATGCTTGTAAGAAACTGGCTCTTATTTAGGCTGTGTTAGGATTTATTATTTATTTGGGTTCAAAGATATATTTAGAGAAGTTCTAAAAAATAGTGTTCATAAATTTCTAGTTAATTTCAAAAACTACTAAATATTTGTAAGAATGCAAACCATTTTTATGGATTTTATGGGATTTGTGTGGTCAAAGTCTTCACAAGAGATTTCAATAGGTTTCCTAGGTTTTGCAGATAATCTTGAAACAAATCAAATGATACCCAAAGAATTTTCTTGAATTTATTCTTTTCCAGGATTGGCTACCTTCTTTGCAATATTCTTACGTTTTTGAAATACTTCAGTTATCTCTAATGTACTTCTTTGCAGACCTCAATATACTTGGCATACTGTGATTTACAAGATACATATCTGAACATTAACCCATTTAGTTTTTTTGTATAGAGCTTGAACCGTTTAGACGAGTGTAACTTTGTCATCAAGAAGAAAGAGTGTTTTAATTTCTTAATTTCTAATTACGTAATAATTAATTTGCAGAAATGCTAGAAATAAAGAAAGAGAAGAAATTCCAGAACCTGGACCTCCAGCTAGACCACCTATACCTCAAAGAGTTATTGTAGTTCCAGATCCATCAGCTCCCAGAAGGTAATAAGAAACAAAAATGGTAAAACTAATTATTTTAAATTTCTTTTGCTTTTTTTCTAGACCACTGCCACCTCCTCCTGAAAACGCAACTCCCAGATCTCAACCTCAAAGGAATTCAAATTCACAACATATGTTCAAACCAATGGTATGTTACCATTTTTTAATATCTATAATTATCATTATAATATACAAGGTGTTTTAAATGTCTCATTGCAAGGCTTTAGCATTTGAAATCAACACAAATTGATTTGAGAAAAATTTGTAATAAGTGGTATTGTGTGTTAAGGTCCTGCAATAAAAAACTGAAACTCTCAGTGTATTGGGTATTTTAATAATATTCTCCTCGCGGTCCATAAATTAGGAAGATTTTTTTGTAACACCCTGTAGATTTATAACAAAAGTTTTAAGAATTATATCTAAAATGAAATAAAAATTAATTATTGTTAAAACTTTAGTTGTAGCATTAATGTAATGTGTTTATACCCTTATTTTATTATTTTTTTTTTGTTGTATATTTTATTGTTGTACATTTTTAATTCTATTCACCTTCTAAAAAAACTCACCACTTTTATTAATTAGTAGTCGCTTTTATTAGAATCTAATTTTTCTTAATTCTATTTATTTCATGTTTGCTGTCTGTCATCTATTTCACACAAACAAATACAAACTCGTTGTTCAGGTGCCGCCACGAAAAATGGAGGTACGTATTTATCTATCACTCCTCTAGCGCCTATTACGTAGCTTCTTCAAATTCTTTTTTATCCTAAAAGCAAGAGAAAGCTCAGCTATAATAATAATATTTTAATTTTTCGTTTTAATTCAGTTTGTTTTTTTTTAATATAATTATTTATATTTTTATAGGAATTTGATGAAATAGCAGCTCAGCTAAACAAGTTAGCTGATCAACAGGCGCAACCGGAAGCACCACCTAGAAATAATCGTAACAACAGCAAGCAAGCGCAATCGGCCGTAAATAACAACGTGGCAACACCTTCAAACGCCAACAATCATAATTCTAGTAATCAAGGTAATCATGGTAAAGTGATTATGCAGAACGATCATAGTAGCGACAGCGATTCCGAGCCTGAAGATAATGGGCCTATTCGAAACGATGGAACATTACTTGCTAGTGATCCACCAAAACCACTGTGAGTAAAGAAATAATTTAAATTTTATGTCCTCATAAATAATGATGAAAGAATTAATGGAAGTTTTTCTGTCTTTTTTTGTTTTTAATCTTTTTTTGGACCCCCTTTTTGTTTTTCGATTAGTCCTGAATTTTCTTATAGAGCTGGGTTAGTTAGTGATGCTGCATCCAGTGGTTCTAGTCCAGGAGCTACTAGTTCTGGAGGCGCTCCAAATAGACCTCTTCCACCTACTCCAGATGACGATGAATCGCAAGGTGATCGTACTTTAGTAGTTCGACCAAAGGTTAGTATAAATTTTATTTTAAAAATAAAGGGTGATCAATACTTATTGATTAAAAAAATATTACTTTTATGGCTAACTTAAATAATAATGTAGCCTGATATGGATAACAACAAAATGCCTAATAACATATATTTTATAAAAGGAAACTTATAGATTGTTTTAGATTAGCTAAAAATGTAATACTAAACTTAGTATGAGTCAGCATGCTTTATGATCCTGAGAAGAAAATATTTTTTTATCAATGTTTTTGATCATTCTTGACTAATTGTTTTAATTAAAACCAATTCATATTCAGTGTGTAGTATTCAAAACTAAAGTATTAAACCATTTATTTTTATTTTTGGATACATCATATCTTTATTTGATTCATATGTATATAAATATTCACCTTCATTGTTATTCAAAACTAAAAAAAATTTTTTAAACTCTTACACATTATCACTTTTATAATATTTCATTTTCTTTTCATTCTGACATCATTTTATTTTTTTATTTTACACCATCCTCCATATAATCGAATCACTAAAAAAAAAACATAAAAATTAATGCCTTGAAACCCTTGAAAATCGCGAATCGAAACGAAATCAAAAATTTTCGAAACAAAAAAAAAGCAGTCAACAGCCAGTCAGTCTTCGGATAAACGGAAACTCGACGTCGACGACGAGGCGACACTGCTAAAAGATTGGGATATCGCGCGCTTCTTTCCCTCATCGAAATTCCAAGACGGCTCCACCTCATCATCCACATCATCGAGCAACAACAACACTAACACGCCCAAACCAGCTACCGCTAATCCCTCCTCCACCAACAAACAGGAACAACACCAACAACAAAAGCAACCACAACCGAATTCAAATCATCGCCGAATGGAAAGCGACAATCCATTTGTAAGAAGCTTCCGTCGTGAAAATTCCGATTTTTTCCCATTGAGCGCTCGTCATTCGGCCATAATCGTGGATAGACCAAACCCAATAAGCAGATCGAGTGGAATTTTCAATATGCGAAGAGGTTCCGAGGCTGGATTAAATTCTAAGAAGAATTCTGGGGAACCAGTTTTAACCGATTTCGTGAAGAAAACTGAGGCGACGAGTCCAAAAGGAGTTGCGGTTTTGAGAGATAACAGCTTGTTGAAGCCTCGTAGAGAGAAAACAGAATCGGATATTACACTACGGTATTCGGAGGCAAGAAAATCGCTTAGAGAAAACTTGGAGGCGCATCGAAGACAGATCGAAAGACAGTTTTCCGCTGAAGCGGAAAATATTCGACGTAGAAACTCGAGGCAGTTCGATTCGATCTTATCAACCGCCACAAATTCTATTGATGGTGATGATTTTTATAATCAGGTAATGTATATTTGTATTAATCTTCTTTTTTTAAGTTTACGAAGTAATCCTGTTGATTCACAATGAAAATTGTTGTCAACAGGGTTATACTTGTTCCTTCTTATTTTATTACTATTATTTTAAAAAAATAATTTCTTGAATTAGGCTATTTAGAAGGTGTTAGGTGTTAAAATGATTTTAAAAAAACTTAAAGAAATATAGCAATTAGTTATATACAGGTGTCCTAAAAAAATCAAAATCAGATGGATATCTTAAAAGGGAGAAGTTATATTAAAAAATTCTTTACAAAAAAATTAAGATCTCCATAATGACCTGATGGGACACTTTGTATAAAAACATTTCTTTAATTATAGTTACTTGTAGGCTTTGTTGATTAATTACAAATATAGTTTAGAACATTTAAATTCTCATGAATTAGAAATAGTAATTTTGAAAGTTTTTATATAGGATGTTGTGCTAAAAGTAAAATGTCAAACTATATAGGCTTTAATAGGAATATACCCAAACATCCTCTATAAAATAATGTAGGGTTTATAAGGAACTTCTTATTTAATTAAAAATTATCTTATCTCGTATAGGGGGTTCATTAATATCGGATATTTCTTGGAATGATAGTATTCGAATAAAAAAAAGTTTATGCGGTCAAAAACTTAACATTCTCGATATACAGTGTGATAAAATACAATACAATTTATTATTATTGATTAGTAACTTTTATAGATGTTATAGTTAGTTAGAAAATGCTGGGTCGCTAATGTTTACGCATGATTTGATTGATTCAATTAATATTCTGAAGTATTTTTAATTACAGCTTCTCAGCTTAACCGCTGCACTGATTTGTTTTGTTGTTATTAATATTAAATTAATTTTTCATCATATAAAAATTATACATATAAATTTGGTAGTGGCGCTTACTTTAGGTATCTCACCACGCAATATTGAAAGCTAAAACTGTTCCAAACAGCGTCTTAAGTTATGCACAAACTTCTTTTCATAGCTACTAATGATTTTCATAAAGTGTTTGTAACACTCCATAGACTTAGTGAGATTTACCACAACTCCCATTGCAACTACAATGTGTAAAGAAAGTCACGTTCACAACATTGAACCAGTTAAATTTAATAATCTAAAATTAAACAATCTCTGAACGTAACACAACAATTTGATTCCTAGAAAAAACTTCTTTGATTTTATTATATGCGTTTTAGAACTTATTTATTTTAATAATTCTTTTAAAATAATCAAAATGCGTCATAAGTGTTTCCAGACAATGATTTATTCTTTAATTCGGTTTTATCAAACATAAGACTTTCAACAAAATCAATTCAATATTAGCACGTGCAATTCTCTACTGAGAGGAAACGTAAACAAACGTCGTCGCGAAGTGTCTTCAACTTCAAGTGTTCACACGTACTAAACATAAAGCCTCTAGCTATTTTAAGAAGCAGTTTTGGATAAAGAAATTGTTTATTGAACCGGCATGAAATTAGCTTTAGATTGCGTGGTTAACTTTTTCCAAACATGCAACGAGAGCTGTTGGTTAATGCAATGAAAGTGAATTTCTCGGTTTTATATATTTTTGTTCTGAAATGTATTGAAACTACAGAATTAAACCTAATTATAGTATATAGCATGATAGTTAATCCGTTCAAAAAAGATGATTTTCTTGATGAAAATAAATATGGTGTGGCTTCAACAACCCATAAACTGATCCACTTTATTTAATTATATTAATTTTATATTTTTTTTATGCAGTTCATTGAAATTATGCTATTTGATTATAAACTGTTTTTAATATTGTTACATAGTTCCTTCTTTGTTTTGTCTTACAACTTTTATTGTTAGATTTTAAAGTGGAATTAAATGGAAAATTATTTTTAGCCATTTTCTTGGTAATTTGGATTAAGGCATTTGATTGAGAAATATAGTGTTGTAGCTTACTAATTTTATTTATTATGTTATGTTTTCTTAAAAATCCCTGACAGTAATAAATCGAATAGCTTTGCCATCAACAAACTTACATTAACATGAACAATAGGTTTAAAAAATTATAAAGATTAAGAATTTTAAAATAAACTGTGAAATGTTATACAGGCTCTATTCCTATTAACCTTTGCGTTACCAACGGGAGTATGAAAGGTGTTGTTGTATCATAAAATAATGCTTCTTCTGAACGTGTTTCAACAAAACAAATTCGTCATAATAGACACATTTCAAAATAATACCTGGTGTTTTTCACGTACCCCATTTGGCCACAATCATTAAGTTTTTTATCATGGTAACGCTAGAGTTAACATCACTAGTATAGCAACAAAATAATTGTCTTATTTTAAAAACATGCTTCTGCAAGATAGAAAATTATTGCACTTTTAATAAAGACGAAATCAAAATACAAAATGTTTGTTGTACCAATCCAAGTTTTCTGGGCGTTTTTACATTTTCCTCAACTATAAATTCGAATTGGTTTAAATAACTCATTCCTAAAGTTGCGTTTGGATTGAATCAGAATGTTTTAAATAAAAAAACTAAACGGTAATGTAATCTAAAGTATGAACTAAGACTATTAAAAAATATTGGAAGGTAAAGTTTTGGCATTGAAAAAAAGAAACGGTTTGCCGAATCAGACATACATGAGTACTAAAGAAGTCGAACAAATTTAAAAAGAATTATTCCATAGATTTCGAGATATCGTTGCCGTTTTGAGAAAAACGCGTTTAAACGTTTAATGTGGTTGGGATTCATACAGCTATCAGACTCCAAATATCAGAAAATCATTTTACTCACATATTCTACACTATACTTGGATGCAATCTATATAAAAAAAATTGATTTCTTTGAAATATTTGAAATAGAATGAAAGAAGCTGCTTGGTGCATCACAACATGAGTTATTCGGAAAATTGGAAGTAAATTAATATAGGTATAATAGATCAAGAATTATTCAAAATAAATAAATAATAATGTTAATTAATTTCTACTGAAGAAGACCAAACAGTCATATTTCGCGTTTAATTGATTCCTTCAAGTATCCGCATAAAAATTTTATATTTAGTACTGCTTTATCATTTTTTTAGTATTATTATGAATATTTAACATTATTTTTTGCTGCCCACATATACTTCAGTTTTTTCACATAGTATCCGGGCTCCAATTCGATAGTTTTCAATACTATGTAAGTATGTAGTTTCATGTGGGCCATTTTTACATCTCCACAATTTACAGTTCATTTAGTGGTTAGAAAACCAGCCCATGGTTTTAATGAACGTTAATATAGAACAGAATATAGGCCATGGTACGCCAAAAATGAATTCCCTTAAGTACGCGAGGTTGAGATAGTCACAAACATTTCACATCCTCTACAAAGGGGTGTGTTCACCAGATTCAAATAGAACATATGCTTACGTAACCTACAGTGTCCGGTCAGCAAGTGGGTGAGGAGCCCCAAATTACTTTTTGATTTTCTCAGGAACTGAGTTGATCTCTTCCGGTCATGGTTGAGAAGAGTTTTCTTTGCAAAGACACCTACTGCAGTCTCATCCCATCTATCGCAAAAAGCTTGATGGGAAATGGAGTTGATCAACTTTGATGCTGTATTAAAAGTTAGCGGTACAAACGATTCAGGGGAAACCGGTGACTTCTTAAGACTTCTCCGTTTCGCCAGTCTGTCTGCATAATCGTCTATTTCTGGTATATCCTTTCCGCCATTTTATCGTAACGTTGTTATAAACATTTTGCCTCCTCAAGTGATTGCTGACAGGACTTCACTAACGATGATGTAGTTTCATACCTACTAAGCAGTAGCACATCCTGTCTGCTATCAATGCAAATTACAACGTTTCTGCTCACTTCAATTAATTAACTTTTCAATACTAATACAATACTAAAATTTGTCTGATACAGGTGGTGATTTTTATATGAAAAAGTGTTGAATTATCTACTCCTATAATAAAGAATACTGACGAATTCATCAACGCGATAATGACCTTTGTGGCTTACTCTTAAACTTCAGCAAGGCCAAGGTTCGATAATTACTTAGAAGTGTCAAGCATTCTTAAGTGTTTTGCTTCTTTGAAAAAATAACAAGTAAATTTATAACATATCGAACAGAATATAGTTGAACAGAGAGTGCTAATTTTGTTAATTTATTCTCAAACTTTTCTGTAAGGTGGTATTGTTTGCCAAATACTAATATCTATCCGCTCAATCTCATTCAGATGATTATTGTATTGTTATATTCACATCGGTTCCAACACATCGTTTACAACATTTCGTGTTTTTCATTTGACTGCATTTGATGTTATCATACAAAAGTCATTTCTCATTTATGTAAACTTTGAACTTATCTATTAGTATCACAGAGTAATGCTATCCTGTCATTATAGCTTTTCCATTTTCATAATCGGTGCACTCAAAACGCCAAAACTTTGAATTTTCTTTCTCAAAATCCAAGGGGCGTTGGTAAGAACGTCGAGACAGCTTTGAATTATTTTTACTTTCCTTACCGCCAAAAGAAAATTCATCAAAATCTGTGTGTTACATATCGTTTACTCCCTTTATTTATATTTTCGGAATGGGAAAGGACTAGAGTTATAATAATTTTTCTTAACCCTTTAGACATATCGTCTTTGAACAAAACTTGTTTTGTATAAGTAGGTGCATATCGTTTATACAAAATTTCAGTCAATGATGAAGTTCAAGAACTTCTTGAATACAGCGCTAATGGAGAAACAAAATTAGATGAAGGGAATGAATGGGATAATGTTTCTGATATTGATTTTTTTGAAAACGAAAATATTGACATGGATAGTAATTACTCCCCAGAATCAGATAATGAAGATGAAGAAGGACTTATACATATTTGAAATTTTTGTCTCAGAAAGTTTCATTCACCTAATAAGTCACCAAATTCATAAACTATAATTCCGAAAATGCTGGGTGTTTTATTGGCATTCTTGTACTTATGACAGTGGTAAGAAAAGAAAATCAAAGATTATTTATAGTGCAAAGATTTGATAATACAATCCCACTTTTGGACAGATATTGCCTCATGATCGATATCTATTGACACTAAAGTTTTCATGCGTTATAAGTGTAACACTACAAAAGTTTCTTTGTGGATAGAATATCTATCGAGGTTTTTGAAATTGTTACACCATTAGTTATCAATATTTAATATAAATAATACTGTACAAAAATTCTTGAGTTTATTGAATATGATTTTACATCAAGTTGTGTAATTTTTTGTGAGATGGCAGATTGTTTGTGATTGGTGTATTTTATTTTCATGTCCTAAGAATAAATTTTAAAATTTTTTAATACGAATAATTTGATTCATACGAAGCGTCCGTCTAACTATAGTCTAGAAACGTTGCCAATGATTTAACATAACCTTTTTTAGAGGACCCTCTTCCTTGCATATGTGCACATCTTTAGGCACCGTTTTGCTCTCAAACTAAACATCATTTATTATTTGTCTTCTAAACTTCTGGTTGAATATAGTGGGATTATATTTCTTCAGTGTTCTAAGTTTGGCGTTCTTAAGTATTGTGTTTCTTAATTGTAAGGTGAAATTATTTAAAGAAATGTTTTAATATAAGAAATGATGGAAAAGTTAAAATTGAATCTTCTAATTGTATGTAACATTGTAATTATATCATTTTGTTTCGTCTCATTTGTGAGACTCAATGAGTTATTATTATTTATTATTTATGGTAGGTAGGTACTTACCTATAAATAAAAAACAACTTAATTATATTTATTGCTCCCATTAATTGTAAAAAATCCTCTCTTGGAGGGCTGCGGTATATTAATGACCTCTAAAATGTCTTCAGCTTCATACCAAAGGATATCTTCAGAAGAAGGCCACTTTCATTGATTTCGTCCACTTTTTTCAAGAGATTTAATCTTAAATGTATCTTGTTATTTTTTAATTTAATTTGAATAACTTGTCCTGGATAAACTAGCTTTTCATAGAAAAATGAAAAAAAGTTTCCGTTATTAATATGTTCAATTGTCTTGTTGTCATTTTGGTGTTGTCAGACCTTCCACGCCAACCTCAATCATCAAGATATTCAACTTCGCCAATCATCAAGATCACAGTAATCCTCCGAAGAAATGGAAATATTATAGGAGAACTCAGAGTCATTGGAAATTCTTCGTCTTACCTTTTCTGAAGAAATTTCGTAACTTGATTTGGTCCAGCGATCGCTTCTGGTTGAATATCCGAAACAGAAATACTTCTACCAGGTCACACTCACTTTTTTCCTCTTAGTGCCTTGGGTCTGTTGAGGAAACCTTCTGTCCTGCAGAAGATCTGTTACTGAGGCGCTTACATTAAGCTGTACGTTTGGGTCTAGATTTTCAATCTCTGGAATTCGATCTAAAACTTTTCTTTTATTCAAGGGGTAAATGTCAGCCTTTACAAATCCACTCTTTAGATTTTCTTTTCCACTTTCTGCTAAAGACTTTAATATTAACAGCAAATCGCTGTGTAAGGTCGGGATACCGTTCCAAAGTCTCACCCATTCCGAGTTCCAACCCTGGCAAGTTATCTGTGAGTTAGTTTATATAAATAGATTTATAACTCACCAATAACAATAAAAGAGTACCACAACAACCTGAATCACCAGCGGCCAAAGTCACCCATGTTTGACTTGATGGCATATAAACAGAAATCTGTTAGAGAGACCTACGAACGTCTCCTTTGGTCCCCCCTTATGGGCAAAGTTATTACGACTATAAATAAATTCGCGCCTTTTTAACAAGCACATTCTCACTTGATTTACGAAAATATAAAGGACCAATTTTTTCTCATATTCATAGTTTTGAGTTCCTTATAGTATGTATAAGTCATATATACTTTGATATTAGAAAATTTTACATAAATTTTTTTTATGGTAGAGGAAAGAAACAAGTTTCAGAACTAGGCCAAAGCCACTCAAGTTTACGGTACTGGTAGTTTCCTAGAAGCTTTTCCTAATGGTGTCACTAAAAATAATGTGTGATTCTAAAATATGTATATATTTAGAAAGAATATAAATGTTTAGAGAAAAATTTACATTTTAAGTTGATTGTGCTAAATATCAGTTCAATGCAATATAAAGAGAATTGGATGCTCTAATTAGATTGACTTGGATCGTTTTCATCACTGATACCTGCTGTGAAGGTGATTGTAGCCTTTTTTATCATAAACTCATATTGTATATTAGTAACAGATTTATAATTTGCAAATAAAGCATAAATACGACTTACTGAAATCAGATCCTTGCCTCTTATGTTCAATAAAAACAAACTATATCAACCTCAAAATTACTCTAAACTTGTTGTTGATTTGCGTATACTTTAGCGTGGTTACAGACTCTAAATTTTAGTATATTTATAATTATTACAAATTAAATGTTCGTGCAATGATTTTAGCCGATACAAGTAATACAAAAAAAATATATTTTCTCAAGTATATCGAAAATATCACATTTTTGACCACATTTTCTTATTTTATCGAACACTACCACTCCATAAAATATTTATACACTTATACATACACATTTTAATAATCAAAATCCATCAAAAAATGTATCATTTATATTAAACTTTAATTTATTAACAAATTAACCAAAAAAACGGGGCTTTATAGCAGCTTTAATAACATTATTTGTGTTAATTAAAATTAATTATCATTACATACATTTATAATCATTTTTGTTAATCTAACATTCTAATAAAATATTAAATTATTATTTTTTAACTAACAAATGCTATTTGTTTTTTTTTATTTTTTTCTTAACAAATAGTATCTTAAAGGAACGAGAAAAAATGGATAAGTATCAATCTTGTCCTGAGATTAAACAGCGAGAAGAATCTGCGTAGCAATAAAATGAATGGAATGCGTTTCTCAGCATGTCTATATTACGTATAGAAATCTGCGTTTTGTTCAGACTGTTGTTCAAAGCATGAAGAAGTGATTTACAAAGAGTTAACTGACTGGCTGGCTGTTACTGATGCTGATGATAAAATTAGCGAGTGGAGAAACCTTTTTGAGTATTTAAAAAAATTATTTATTAAATTATTCTCATTAGTTTTGTTTTCTTGTTTTATTATTATTAATTGATGTGTTTTTGTGTTGCTATTATTTTGTGCTTTTATTTCTTTATTGTTTAATGCATGGATGTTTTCAGTTTTCATCAAAACATTCTTTTTCAGATTTCTTTTATTTACTTCTTTCTTTTATCAATCTGTTTCGTTAATTATCTATCTTTTTTTTTTGGAGTTTAAACTTTGATAATTTCTATTTTGTGTATTATTAATAAAACTAATATTTATAATTTTATTGAACTAAATTAAACGCAGTTTGCGTAATTTTTTCCAATCTTATCACCTTGTAAATATTTAAACTATTCCTTTTCCTACGGCAAAACCCACCAGAACTCCTTCGTATTCACCGTTGCCGTATGCTATTTTATTTAATACAACCAGGTCATGGCTCCTAATGCACAAACTGTAATTTTCACAAAAAAGAAATACCACTTTAACATTAATAACCGGTCTTTTGTGTGTTTTCTTTCTTTTTAGAACGGCGGGCGCGGTTCCGATCATTCAAGAGGCAGTAATGTACTTCCAGATTTGTTAAATCAAACCAATGATAGTCCAGGAACGCCATCTGCTAGAGATAAATCTCAAAGTGAAGAGGTAATACAAAATTTAAATTAAAAAATTAACAATACATTTGATATTTTAAAATGAGATCCTCAAAAATCCTTTCCATTATCATTCTAATTACTGATTAATCAAATTAATTTTTTAATGATTTACTTTTTTTATATGTCATCGTGTATAATACTCTATGAGCTTAATATCCACAATTTTCATTTTGATTTGTTATCGTTTAGATATGTACTGATGATTTTTTAGAGATAGAATCATTACTAATAAAGTTTAAGTTTAAAAGATGTATCATCATCGACATCAAATAACATCATCACTCTTGCATATAAAAATAACTCATCAATACATATCAAAAGAAAAGTCATTCAAATTTGTTGATAAACCACAAAAGAATGAAATGTTTTTTTTTCTGTGTCATTAATGCATATGTTTCTCTTTGATTATTGCCTAACTGAGTGACATCGTGTGCCCTTCCCTCCCCCAATTCGTACTGATTTTATATACAGTAAGTATGCATCCAAAATATTTGCAAATTTTTGCTAATTTTCTTCGCTCGTTATCGATCGTTGAGTATTAATCCGTATTTTCCTATTTTGTTACTAATAATAATCTCATCATCGTAAATCGTAATTGTTACATCTTCTTTTCTTTAATGTATATAATTTTTTTCTTCTAAGTTGATTCTATTCGTAGGTTTGATTTCATTTTGAAATGGCTCGTTATGTTTTGTTGTATTTGTTTATGTTGGTTTTGGGTTTTTAAATAACTAATTTTATCGTTCATCATTGTATTTTTTTGTATGATATCATTTTAAACTAACAGTAATCTAATACCTACAAAGAGTGATCAACAAAAACAACCGTGTTTATTCAAATTTATTTAAATATTTATTTAATGTAAAATAAAAAATAGTTTTAATTTATATGTATAATAACGTTTCTGATTGATACCATGAGGAATATCAAATGCAGGATGAGTAACTATGAGACTAATTTTCATTATAAAAAGAACATTTGCAAGCTGTAGACTCTACTAATAAGTACCATACTTTTAGAGTACCTAAAAAGATCTAATTCTGTAATTCGTTAAACTCATATTTCAAAGACAAGCAACGTCAGGTTGCTTATGGATTGCAACGATGGCACATCTGACACATCTCGATCAGAAAGTCGATCAACCTATCAATACAATCTACATAGAGTAGCCTTTCTAAAGAAGAGTAAATAAATAGCAATTAAAGAAGAGTATTGACAGTGCTTCTGATTAAAATAGATTGAACCATTCTATTTATGAACAAATACTTTACACCGCCTCGAAAACGTATCTATCTTATTGATTCAGAGTAAAGTGTTGATTGAGCAATTCAAGATTCTAGGTTAGGACAGGCCCGAATTAGAATTTGTTGGCACCGATTGTCTCTTCAACTTGGCCATCGCAATAAGTTTATCATAAACAATACAAACAACTACAAGAACACTCAACGGTTTTAAAATTCGAATTAAGTGTACTTCAGAATGATGGGAAATCTGACGAATTGCATCAACATTAAAGGATGAGGCGACGACATTGAACGAGTCGCCGATTGTAGAGAAAACACCTTTGGAGAAAAAAAAGTCAAATTGTTAACATGTTTTTAAGATTTTATTTTTCGCTGTTATCTCGATAATCTTACACTGGTTTCAAAATGATTTCCTAATATCCTTGGAAATTTATTTGTTCAGAATTGCATAGAATTAATAATGTCCCGCAGTAGATGAAAAAATGTGGATTCCTACTGTATGTCTGTACACTTATTAATAAAAATATATATTGAAGAATTATTTAAAGAATTATAATTCTTGGTTAAATAATTGCAAATAAATTGGAATAATGTTCGATAAAACTATCGAAGGCGACAAGAGACAAAGTCATCTAAAGGGCTACAACTTTTGAGCAGTTACAAAGAAAGGCAGCATACACATCGTGTTCTGCTGTCTAAAACTCATAGCTTGATCTTAAAAATACGTTGGTTTACTCTTGAGATTAGATTGATAGGAATTGTATTCTCCAGCAATATTTATGAGCAAGAACATAAATCGAGCAAAGTTTTTTAATCACTAGTGATGGAACGGATAGTGATTTTGCGAAAAGCCGGATACCGGATATTCGGCGTTCCCTTCGACCAGATATCCGGTTATCCGGCATATCTATCCGGCCATTATGGCCATTATGACCTGATAACAAAAACCTGATACAAAAATATAATAACATTAATAACATATGAAAATAAAAAGACTATTAATTAACTTAAGTCAACTCGGATGATTGTCAGAGGAGGTTTAGATAAACAACTCTGATTTTCACAATCGCTCGAAAATACTATAAATAAGAAGAGAATAGAAGAAAACCAGAAAACAGATAAATCGAAAACACGCAAAACGTGACAAAACACATAAGAACAAAAACAAAATTGTTTTTTCAAGCAATGCAATGCTTTATTGAAGGCAAGCACTAATTGTTTAGAGCGCAAAGCTTCCGGCAGAGAATCCCAAAAATCGACAATTCTGTAAGAAAAAGACCTTTTAAACAGTTGGGTGCTATGAGGCAGGATTGACAAGCAGTTCTTTCTGCGGACGTTTATATTATGTACGTCCGTTCTAAATCTGATTTTATTGTGCAGGTAAGCCGAAGTTTTGAACATAATAATTTTGAAAAATAACACTCCCTCATGAAAAATTCTTTGATCTCGACGTATACCAAATATCAACCGGAGACACTCCCCCTGGACTCGTTGGACTCGTGTCCATAAACAGCGTTGCAGTGATTAAACCGAGAAAGTATCAACGTGCCAGTGAGCAAGGCTCTACACTGCGTGCTTAAAATGTGACGGTTGGCGTATAAAGACTTTAGCGTGGCTTACGAACATCTAATTAAGTGATTGATATGTGTATTAAAACGCACATCCGAAGCCAGCCATACCCCCAAGAGCTGCCACCTGGTCCTGCCACCTTGGTCCTGCCATGCTCTGGCAGGACCAAGGTCTTTACTTCTCCCCTTCCGAAATATTCACCACGCATTCGATATCTTGATTTAAACGACTATTTGCACTTTCAATCTCTGACAACGGAAAGCTCAAATATAGTTGTGTATCATCCGCATAAGTTTGTAATTTACAGTAACGGACGTATAACGAGAAGACACTACTATATAGGATAAATAAGATATCGCAAATACTACCCTGCGGCATACCTGTAGGAGTGTAAAATTCACGAGATGTAGAATTACGAACGCACACCCTCATACTTCTGCCCTCCAAATAATGTCGAAAGAAATCAACGGATTCATGGCCAAAACCCATAAACCTAAGAACAGCAAGCAAGTAGTAGAAAATAGCGCACGAAAAACCCGATTGGGAATCAGGCAGAAGATTATATTGAGTTAGGTGTGTTCGCAGTTGACGATCCACAATTTTTTCTACAACCTTGGAAAGGTCGGGTAGAAGAGAAATGAGCTTTAAACCGCTATAATCGGAAGGATTTGGTTTTTTGGGTAGTACAACAGCAATAGACTGTTTCCAGATGGTAGGGTATACATTTTCTGTTAAACAAAAATTTACGATATGTACAATATATCTAGATATAAAAGGAAAACACATCTTAACAAATTTTAGTGCTATGCCATCGACTCCAACGGCTTTGGAAGAGATACTAATCAACGTGGAGTATAGATCGTCCTCCGTTATAGCCCAGAAGGAGAATTCAGTTTGAAAAGCAGTAGTCTTGTTATTGTAGTATTGATACACATCATAGTCGATATCAGTTTGAGGAACAGCACCACCGAAATGATTCGCAATCTCATTTGCATTGGCCTATGAGAATCTAGCCTGGTATGCTGAATCTCTTATACGAGTTGTCACGGAGTTTAATCATTTCTGGTGCATTTCTGAAGTGATACCCTATATTGCCACATTATTGCGATATTTGAATAAAAATGAAATTAATAAGAAAGCTGATAAGATATGTCAACTTATTTGGATCCAAGATACAAAATGAACTTTTTTGATGCTGATTTAACTAACGAAGCAACTCTAAAAAGAGGATTAATGATTGGCGATATTTCCATAAGGATCCTTCAAGAAATGTATTTTATAGCGAATTTTGAAAGTTATCCATAAAAATAGCAACATCGAAAATTTTATCAAAACTTCAAATATTGTTTTCTCAAAAACTAAAAATGATATGTCAAAACGGGTTGGTTCATTGGAAAGAAGACACTTTTATTAACACTTTGGGCGATTTTCATACTCATATTCCAAGAACTGGATTTTATACGAATTTTTAAAAGTTATAAGTACGAAGGCAAGAACTGAAAGTGATTTTTCAAAACGGCTTTTTGCATTAAAAAGAGGATACTTTAATTAATAATCGAAAGTGATAACAGCGAAAGTTCTGTTAGTAATGAATGTGATGATGAATTACAAGTGAAGAGAAGAAGACTAGACTAAACTGCAACAAGAGATTTTATATATCGTATTGGGATTGTTACAATGAGGTTGCTAATGACAAACCTGATATAAATAAAGTTGTATTCAATGAAAAAAGTCCTATTGGGGTTGAACTTGATTATTATCTGCAGTGTCCAACACCTAAAAGAGATACTGATTCCTGTGAATGGTGGAGTACTAACTAATACACCACTACTTTATATCAATAACTTTCTAAGTTTTTCCAATTTTCAGTATGATAGAAAATTGTAAAGAAGTCAATTGTTCTGCACTTGCCCCTAAGATGTCTATTTAAAAGGAGCAAAATCAGAATTTCTAGGTATTAACTTGGACATTTTTACTTTTATTGCAACAAATGCAACGTGGTAATACACTTACTCCACTGAATCTTTAGTTGTAACTATCTTTGATTCGTTTGCGTTCACAGTTAGAGCCGTTTTCAAACAACAATCAAGTCTCTTCTTGCCATGATCAATACACCAACATTATATCCATCAGACTCCAGACTACCAAAAGTAATAAGCACGGCCACCTCTTCTTCCACAAACATTAACCTAAACGATGAAACGATCAAATCATCACTTAATGATTCAATTTTGAGAATATCTCCAGCTCCTCTCCATCCATAATCACACCAATATCATCCTACCTGTCAGACTCCAGACAACAAAAAGTGGCAGCTTTTTGAAACCGTTTGAGTTCAGAGTTAGAGCTATTTTAAGGCAACAATCGAAAAGATCTGAATTTATTCTTGAACAAGCCGAAGCAATTTATTTTTTAGAAAAAAAAAGTAACCTTGGGTCCAACAGCGTAACGACGAATGCTATACACACTTAGGCAAATGAGAAGTATAAATAGAAAATAATAGAGGCGCCAGTATTGATCTTTGTACTATGCTAATGCCTACATGAAAGGAGGCTGAGAACTAACGACCAAAAGTTACTGGGCAACGTAATTAGAGGCTGCGCCGCTGGTGTCTCCAAAGCATCAAATTCGAGTTAATCCAAGAAATTGACATAACGATCTCTTAGAAATTTTACCTCAATAACTATTTTTCTAAATACAACAGGATCTTTAGGAACACTTCAAAATAGTAATTATTGGTCAAATTTGTAATGAAGCAGTTGATGTAAATAAAGACGTGGCATCAATTTGGGTGAAGAATCATACATTTCTGAGTTAAAAAAAAACAATAATGATGACGATATTTTTAATAAGTCAATTCCTAAAATTTAAAGGTGCAAAGTGTCTAGGAAGTAAACACTCAAAGTTATTATTAGTTATGTTAAGTGTATTATTAGTTTATGAAAAACGAAAAAACCTTCGTATACAAAAGCACGACAATCCTTGTAATACATCTTATTACATTTATTTCGACTATTTTTCAAAGAGAATTGACAACTGCGTTGCTCATTAAAAGTTAAAAGTATGGAATATCGTTACGCAAGAGTTAATTGTTTCAATCGGTTATATTCGATTATAAGAATTATGAATTTTGACAAATGTTTATTCAAAACTTGGTGTCTCAGTTGTGCCACAAAAGTAATATGACTGAGACAACTTTAAGCTGATCAGGATGAAGATAACACTGAAAATTGGAACAGGACGAATTGGGAAATGTCCTTCACCCACTCATTTTTAAAACCATGTAAAGTATTAAACAGAATTTAAATACATGGATTATCTTTATAATTTGATTATTTTAACTTAAAAATAATATTATTTACATAAACTTTTCGGTTAATCATTGTTGATCTCTCAGTATTTTCCAAATAATTTTTTATTAACTCCCATTATTTAATTCATTCACACTCCCTTTTTGCATCGATTTATTTACAATTGAATGTTACTCTGCATGTCGATATTATAATATAAGGTTGTTTTTTTATAAACACCCAATAAAAATAAGCTACCTGCATGATATTTGGCTTGATGCCTGAAAGAGAAATAATCGTGACGATATTTTTAGAGATCTCACGATCTTGTTTTTGTACGTTACTTACTTACCTTTCGGTTATTGCCAGAGTTAAATGCATCTTTAACTTTTTACTTCTTGTAGAAAAACAAGTATTTTAATCTGTTTTGGTGTAAGTACAATTTTAAAACATTTTATTTATGTATTAAGGCAGTAAAAGCACTGGATGTGAGTATAAAAAAGTTTTTACTGCTGTTTTACTTATTATATGTTTTTGTTGATCTTTTAGATAAAATAAATATAATAAAAACGTAAAAAATACTTTCCTTTTCAGTATCGTCAAGCTGTTTCAATGCCTGTAAATAAACCAACACCACCAATTAACGCTCATGCTCTTGCCTTACAACAGAAACAAAGATCGTTTTTGACGTTTGGTTTTGGGGCCACACCGGGACAATCAAGACGAGAGTCTCACGTTAACGTCAATGTTACTCCAACATCTCATGATGTTTCGTCGGATACACCCGAAATTAGAAAATACAAGAAGAGATTTAATAGTGAAATTTTATGTGCTGCTCTTTGGGGTTAGATTATTAATTTATTAAAAAAAGAATTACAACAATAAATATCATTTTGTTGTAGGAGTGAATTTATTAATTGGTACAGAGCATGGACTCATGTTGTTGGACCGCAGTGGTCAAGGAAAAGTATATCAATTAATTTCAAGGAGACGCTTCCAACAAATGGAAGTATTGGAAGGTCAAAATATTCTCGTTACGATATCGGGGAAGAAAAATCGTGTCAGGGTTTATTATTTGAGTTGGTTGAAAGGAAAAATTTTAAGGACAGACGGTTTAGTTGAGGTTAATTTTGAATTTACATAAAAAAAATTTTTGTAATTTTTATTTTTTTGGTAATAAATAGCAAGTGGAAAGAAGAAATGGTTGGATAAACGTGGGTGACCTTCAAGGGGCCGTCCATTTCAAAATAGTAAAATACGAACGAATTAAATTCTTGGTGATCGCGCTCAAAGACAGTATAGAAATATACGCGTGGGCCCCGAAACCCTATCATAAATTTATGGCGTTTAAATCGTTCGCGGAACTCTCACACAGGCCACTCCTGGTTGATCTCACCGTTGAAGAGGGTACCAGGCTTAAAGTGATATATGGCAGTGCTGATGGGTTTCACGCAGTCGATCTTGATTCTGCAAGCGTTTATGATATTTATATACCCAAACATGTATGTTATAAACCTCGAAAAATACTAAAATTAGATGGTAAAATATATTTTTTTATTGCAGATACAAGGTGCTATAACTCCTCATTGCATTGTGACTTTACCAAATAGTAACGGAATGCAACTTTTGTTGTGTTATGATAACGAGGGTGTTTATGTTAGTACATATGGTCGTTTGGCTAAAAATTCACTATTACAGGTAAACTTTTTAGTAAGTATTGTGTAGTTAAAAATAATTGAGATGAAAAGTTATATTGGCATTCTAAAAATATTTTCAAGTGATCAACTGATTTTGCACAGTAAAAGAACCAAACTTAGCGTTAGAACTCTTTAAAGTATTACTCCCTCTATCCCATAATTAGTGTCCAATTTGATGTAAATTTAAGTCTCAAAATAAGTATCCGTTTTAAAATAAAAACAAGTTTTATAGGTCTATGTATGCAATTATATTTTCTAACAACATTTTTTACATAAAAATGACTTAAAATCAATACAACAACATAATATGCTTATAGTATACAGGCTGTTTCAAAGGAAGCGTCAAAGTGAAGAAATTTTTAAGCATGTTCTTAAATATTTTCAATATGGTTCGTTTTAGAAGGATTAAATTTGGAAAATGCTATCATAAGAAAGCGTTTAGATCACTTTTAAAAATATGTAATCATGGGGTCAATGCTATACAGGTGTTCACATAGGTTATTTCCTTAAAACGTTTTTATTATGTCATTTCATTTATTTAACTGATTCTAAAAGCCTATTTCATTTTAAAATTATTTTTACTCTTAGAAATTTTGGCTTACTCATCGTTATCAAGTAATTCGCAAAAAGATACAACCTCGATTTTGAAATGTTTTCATTAATCGCAGGTGCCTAAGAAAACAAATTGTAAATAAAACAGTAAACTAACTGTCCAATTATTGCCCATCATAAGTTACATAAGTTAGTCGCTAATAGTTGTTTAAAATGGGAAATGAGATGCTTTTATCGTTGGGAGAGTGTTTAGGCAATGCTAACGCAGCTTCGAGACGATATTGCGAAAAATTTCCCAACTGCAGACAACCTGACAGAAAAACATTTCTAAATATCGAAAGACGTTTACGTGAAACAGCAAATGAGGCGTCTATTTGCAAAACATCAATTCTAGTCAATTTTTCAGAAAGGACAAATATAAATTACAGCTTTTAATAAAAAGTTGATTTGTTTTTAATACTACTTGTGATAGGACTTAACTTCAAGCAAAATTTGGAAAATCCTTTGCAACTAATAAACATGTTATTGATATTTGCAGTTGGGATGAAGCCGGTTTTTTTGAAACAGAGTAAAGTACACAGATAAAAATAGAACTGCGTAACAATTCGATTTGTGCAAAGACCCTATTCGGTGGCAGAAATGAGTGCCCCGCCATAGGGAATACCACTTTCACTCTTTCTAAAGTTTTTGGGTTTTCAACGCATACCAGTAGGTTAGTATCCCCAGCAACACAGTATTTATATAGCGTGTTTCGGTGACTCAGGGAACAAATGTAACCACATGTACTAGAGTGAAAATGATGACGATTCATGTAAAAGAAAATTAGTAAAAGTCCTCAAATTGCAATGATACAGGCCATCAAAGTTAAGAAATTTTAACACATTTTTCTAAATATTTTAACCACTATTTATGGAAAAGCGTTGAAATTTGGTACAGTGTAAACTAATATCACCTAAAATCATTAAGCAATTTTTGAGTTGGATCGGTACGCGGGAACAATGCTATACAGGCTGTTCTTAAAGTTTGTTTGCTCAGAACTTTTTTATTCTATCATAACCCTACATTTATTTTTGCAGTTTCTAATAACAAATTTAGTTTAGAAACTTTTATCACTCTTAGAGAATATTGATAAAAACCACCGTTTTCGTATTAAAGGCAAAAATGTTAGGCTCCGAATTCAATAACACTAAAAAAAAAATAAATAAATAATCTGAATTGGCAATGACAAGTAAAAATCGAACTGAGTTATCATAACTATTATGTATGCAACATGTCCAAGTGTAGATTTAGCTAAATCACATTTTTAATTTGTTTTAGTTGGTTTAATAAAAGAATCCAAAAACAATAAATTAAAAATCAAGAAAAAATAAACAAAAAAACGACAACACTAACAGGAATAATAAAAAAAGTACATAAAATAACAAGATAAGTAATAAAAAATACTTAAGGAAATATTCAAAAACTTAGATTTCTTTTTTTTTAATGCTATTATTGAAATCGGAACCCAACATTTTTGCATTTAACACGAAAACGGTGATTTTTATCAATATTATCTAAGAGTAATAAAAGTTTCTAAACTAAATTTGCTATTAGAAACTGCAAAAATAAATGTAGGGTTATGATAGAATAAAAAAGTTCTGAGCAAACAAACTTTAGGAACAGCCTGTATAGCATTGTTCCCGCGGACCAATCCAAATCATAAATTGTCTACCGATTTTACATTACATTGAATTATACTGTACCAAATTTCAGCGTTCTACTGTAAATAGTATTTAACATTTTTGGAAAAATGTGTTCAAATTTCCTAATTTTGATGGCCTGTATCTTAGAAATTTGAAGACTTTTACTAATTTTTTTTTTACATGAATCGTCGTCATTTTCACTCTAGTATATGTGGTTAAATTTGTTCCCCGAGTCACCGAAACACCCTGTATTTTGGCCTACGCATCCATCCGCAACACAACGCAAAGTGGAGGCATTAGACAAATCCAGTTTGTTTAATAGAAAGTCATATACGCAGGAAGATACTTCATCAGATCCTTTTGAATACTCTTATTCTCCCCAAACATAGGAAAATGCAATGGTTTTTAATGGGTCTTTGGAACTGCCCTTCACGATGGTGAATTTATACAAGTAAAGCTGTCTTTTGTAATACACAATTTGATCTGGAACCCTGGGAATTGGAAAATTTTTCCAAAATCAAACGATATAGTTACTATAGTCGAGCCGTCGAATTTGTGCAGTGGTAAATCACCGTGACAGGTACTTACAAAAAAAGGGGTAGTCGGTTCCTTCGTTATGTAACCGCCTACTCCCGCCAGGGTCTATAAGGCGCAGCTACACTATACGAGAATAAACCTTCCTTTACAGTCAGATAAGAAGTTATGAATACCGTTCACAGTGCGTCGGCGGCTTTTATTATTTTTTTGTCCCCAGTAACGCGCTCAGTGCGCTACCCCCAGGAGGGGTGTGGTCACTTACTTTGACGAATCCGGACAGGGCGACCTTCGATGTGAGAAATGTACCTACCTGTCACGGTGATTTATCACTGCACAAATTCGACGGCTCGACTATAGATTATCTTTCTTTTATCTTAAAATGTCATAAAATGCCTTATATCTCATTTGGTGAAGTTTCTTTTCGCAATTGAATGTAATTAAAATTGTTTCATCTTTGTCCGTTTTTAATTTTTCTGTTAATTCAAAGCACTTTGAGCATACATCAGTACCAGATGTACCAAAACCTATGTTGAATCTCGTGTTAAATATTCTAAAATAAGCACATTTGACTTTCAATGACTTATCACAAGAATTATTATACAAACAGTGCATTTTCTGAATATTTAAACCGCACTGAAATGTTTTAATGAAGTTTATAATCGAAGTCCTTTTATCGTCATATAATTTCGTGCGACGATGTTCTTTTGAAAAAATCTATTAAAACCCGTTTTTACTTTCTTACTAAGTTTCCGGATAGCCGAGATACAGGAGGTGTCTGAAAATCGTCAATTTCAAACACTCCCTGTATATCAAAAACGAAGAGGGCTAAGTAGACGAGAGGCCTAAGCTAAAGTAGCTTAGGTTCGCGAAAGCCGCAACTTTCTATCTTTCATAATAACTGAGATACCCTGCAAACCCATCGAAATTTGGACATCCTGCCTGTACAGGGTGTCCCAATTTCGATGTCCGCATAGGCTAACTCCGAAACTAAAAGAGATAGAAAAAAAGTAGCTTACATGTCATGATCTCGTTTTTCGAGAATATGTTAATGCCGAAAACTCCGAACAGCTATCGTCTTTTTCTATCGGCAAAAACTGCAAATTTTGCGAAAGCGACAATCGCGAATATCTCACTTATTATTAAAGATGGAGTATTGTAAATAAAACATTATATGGGCAACTTTTTACGAAGAATTCAGTGGCGTAGGTAGAATTTTTTCCCCATCTTTTATTTTCGAGATTTGAGACATAACTTTATTTTTTTAAATGGAAACCATAGTTGGCTATGACCTAAAATAAATTGTTATTTTCTTCTGATAACAAATATATATAGTTCGTGGGGTATATTTCTTATAGTTATTGAATAATTAACAAAAATTCATTTTGTTCTATCTAAAACTAATGTATGTATTTAAAAGTTAATGTTGCTATGGTGATAACCATACATACTATGATGGAACATAATGTATCAATTTTTTTTGTTCTTTCTAAAAGTATTGTATGTATTTAAAACTTAATGTTGTTATGGTGATAACCATACCATGATGGAAAACATTGGGTACGATCAGCAGGTGTCAACAGTTGAATTAAATCAGTCAGCTAGTTGTATGAGCTTTAATACAGTGGAACGAAATCGGCTGTACAAGCAATTGAGAATTAGCAGTTCAGCATAACCTAAAACTATGGCCAACAATAATATTTTTGAAAATTTTGTGTTTTTACAAGAGATAATGGATGATGATGTTGATTTTAAGGCTCATTTCATTTTATACAGTTCTGTCAGTTTTCAAAATTAAAGGGGAGAAACAAAAAATATTAATCCTAACCTAGAATTTCACAACCGCTGACAAACTAAGCGCAGATTACTTACGCTGAGATATTTACTAAACTGCTGCGTAACAGCGCTGACTTAGCATATCGTTCAGCCGCGACTGCTAATATAGCAACTTAACAGTTGACACCGGCTGAACGTGCCCATTGTTTCCAATTATTGCCAAAGTTTGTAGTAGTATTTAAAAATTCACTGACAACTCTGGCATTATGTGCTGGTGCTCCGTCATATTGAAAATATATCATTTGAGACTTATTTAATGGCAAATTGTCGACCAAAGGCACAATGTGCTGCCTTGATATATTGAGGTATTACCTGAGTTTAAGTTTTTATGGTAGATACTATATGCCAACATTCTATTATCTAAAAGGGCACACCATACATTGAACCTCAACCTTCTTTGAACACTCAGAGACTTCATTGGTCCAGATGACATTTTGAACAAACAGCAGATTATTTAATTTTTCTAAATATCATCTACAAAATTCTAATCTTAGATTGACATCTCCTGCACGTAAATAATGAGTTAGGCCCGCTTTGTATGGTTTATACATATTTTTCTTTCATATTCGGAAGCAGCGGTTTTTGGGTCAGACGTCTTGTTCAATTTCTCTGCAAGATGTTGATGGATTTATCGCAAGTGAAGCCAACACATTGACTTCATCCTCTTGCAGGCCATTTTGGTATGTTTTTGCACGTGGTTTGGGGATGGACCAAAAATCTATTAAATTTTCTGCTAACCGGCTGAAGGTTCTTACGTGCGGTTGTCTTCTTTCCGAATACCTTGTGAAATATAATTCCGCGGCTAACGTCGCATTCTTATCTGATAACATATAGCATTCCATCATGTTACATTTTCATAATTTTCGAAGTTCATTGTAAAGTTTTATTTAGTTTTGTTATACTTTGACACCTAACATGCTGGTGCATCATACCAGCTCATAATGCCAGAGTTGTTATCGAATTTTTAAATACAAACTTTGGCAATTATTTGATACATTATGTTCCATCATAGTATGTATGGTTATCACCATAGCAACATTAACTTTTAAATACATACATTAGTTTTAGATAGAACAAAATGAATTTTTATTAATTATTCAATAACTATAAGAAATATACCCTACAAACTATATATATTTATTATCAGAAAAAAATAACAAATTATTTTAGGTCATAGCCAACTATGGTTTCCATTTAAAAAAATAAAGTTACGTCTAAAATCTCGAAAATAAATAATGCGAAGAAAATTCTACCTACGCCACTGAATTCTTCGTAAAAAGTTACCCATATAATGTTTTATTTATAATACCCCCTCCTTGAAACAAGTGAGATATTCGCGATTGTCGTTTTCGCAAAATTTTTAGTTTTTGCCGATAGGGCGAAAACAAAAGACGATAGCTGTTCGGAGTTTTCGGCATTAGCATTTTCTCGAAAAACGAGGTCATGACATGTAAGCTACTTTTTTTCTATCTCTTTTAGTTTCGGAGATAGCCTATGTGGACATCGAAATTGGGACACCTGTACATAAAAATTATCATGACATTTTTTTACTTCGACGTCGGTCAGTTCCGAACATTTGTATGACTTATTCTCTGTGCCATGTCTACATTTAGGTATTACAAACACCAAAGTCGGCATATATCTATGACGAAACAAAGTAACATGAAGTTACTATTCAAGATAAACTAAAAATAATACTAATTGAGTTATAACTAAGCACGTGCCTACGCTTTTTTTCTTGACTTCTTTTCCATTCGCTAGGATTACTAACTTTTTCCGTGTTTTGCCTGCAATCTGTTTTCAATAAACAATAGCAACACTTTTATGTCGATGTGGTTGTTTTTGGTCAGTAATGGATCTAGGGCCGTCTTTGCAACATATTACCATATTCAAATCCACTTGCAAATGGGATGTAGCAGTTTTTGAACGAACTTTGCCACGGTTAGTAGAATTTTGATAAAATATGGATGTAGCTGCTTTTGCAAATGGACACCTCAAATTGAATGCAGAAGTATGTAAATAACGGAAATCAGAGGTTAGTTCGTACACCTTAACTAGAAGAAAACATTTTGGATTTTGTGGTAAATCATAGTACTACTAGTACTGTTGATATCAACAGTTCAGACATTTCGGAATATCCAAAAGTACGGCTTGGCAGGTCCTACACGAACAGCAATTGTATCCATACTACTTGTAATTGCTGATCAATTGTTGTTAGTACAGTTTTGCCATACTATGATGAAAAAATGTACTATTGATGCTGCGTTTTTAAAAAAGTACTTTTTACAAATGATCATTAATTTGAGAAATGCTCATAATTGCACAGATTATTTTGCTGCTTTACTTACGATTTGTTTTCATGGACGCCTACGGTTAATGAAATAATGAATAATATTTCAAAAACGAGGTTGAATCTTTTTGCAAATAACTCGAAAACGATGCGTCTGATCACAAATTTCTAAAAGTGAAAACAATTTTAAAATGAAATAAGCTTTTAAAATCAGTTGAAAAATTTGAGAGTTTATGACATAACAGAAAGTTGTTAAGGAAATAAATAAAAGGGAAAAAAATTTCCATCAAACCACTAATTACGGCAGTTGTCTCAGCGTAGACCACCAACAGCAGCCAAAAACATCACCTTTGTGATGCATCTCTTATTTTGTATGTTTGATAAGGTTCTATCTCATCGTGAGCGAGGTACAAGTTGTTCGATGTTTTCCGTGACTAAAACCATTTCTTATCAATATAAATGAAGTTTGCTATGTCCTTAAAAATAGGTACACCAGTGATGCTATCAGAATCAAGCATTGCCAAGCAGTATTCCAAACGCCGATATTTGTTGCGATTTGTAAGAAATGGTTTTACTGCGTTGGAAACCAATCCAGTTTAATACTTATGTGAATTATGTGTTATTGGACGTTCTAATAGAATGTGCATTGTCTTCTACATCTACGATTCTTCGCTTCGTGCTAACTTTTCCAAATTTCCGCCAATTTGCATCTGCGTATACTAACCTTTCATGTTCGGGTGTGTCCAAACATTACAGGGCATCAACACACCGCGTTCGCAGGACACAATTCTGCCTTTATTAAAAATGTGTTCGCGAGCGGCACGGTCGTAAGCCGCGCAATGTTTGGACACACCCTAAGGATTGGTCTCGATGCCAAATTCGACTTATAGTCTTTTCTGACACAATATCGAGCGGCTGCATTTTTTTTCAAACCATGTTTCAGTTTACCATTTATACTTGTCTCTAGCAAATAATGGTGCAGTTTGGCGCATTTCTTGCATCAGATTAGGCATATTTCTTTATGCTTCAATATCTGCCACTTCTTCACGTTCCATTATGTCGCCACACCGGTATTTTTACAAATAACATCGAGCGGCTGCATTTTTTTTTCAAACCATAATTCAGTTTACCATTTATACTTGTCTCTGGCAAATAATGGTGCACCCATTGGCGCATTTCTTGCATTAGATTAGACCTATTTCTTTATGCTTCAATATCTGCCACATCTTCACGTTCCATTATGTGGCCACACCAGTATTTTTACAAATCATAAGTCGACACAAGATTTTTAACTTAACATTTTTTGACGACATACAAATGTCAATTTTTACGTAATTAAATTTCGGAAACTTATTTTGGGACATTTTTTTTAAATAATTTTTTTATTAATTATTTTTTCTTTTTATTTAGTGGGGTGAAATGCCAACGTCAGTAGCATATATTGGTACAGGTCAAATAATGGGCTGGGGCAATAAAGCAATAGAGATTCGTTCGGTTGAATCGGGTCATTTAGATGGTGTTTTCATGCATAAGAAGGCGCAACGGCTCAAGTTCCTCTGCGAGCGGAACGACAAAGTCTTCTTTTCGAGTGCAAAGAGCGGCTCCTCGTGCCAGATCTACTTTATGACGCTGAACAAGCCCGGAATGGCCAACTGGTAACGAAAATCGTATAAAAAAAGCTAAACAAAAAAATTCTACCCGACCCAATTCAAAATATTAAAAAAAAACCTTTAAAAAAATTGAGAGATAAGAAAAGTAATGGGGAAAAAAGATTAATAATTCTCTGTTCATAATAAATGTGTTGTTTGTATATTTGTTGTAGGTAGATTCTTTTTATTATTATTATTATACTATTTTATTATTACTATTATTATTATATTATTAATTATACATACATACCTACTATCTATATATGAATTCCGTGGATTACGACTTTTTTTTTGTATTTTTCTAGTGTGATTAATAGATTTGAACTACAATATTTTTTTTTATTTTCTTTGTATGTTTACTGATCATGTTTTAGTATTCTCATTTTTTCTTTTATTTCACATTTTCTCAAAAGCTATATTTTCACTAAATTAATTTACTTTTAGTGAAATTTTATAGTTTCTTTTCAATTTCTGCAACTTTCTTGCTTTTTTCTTTTTTGTCAATGAGCACGTTTTTGACAAAAATTGCGAAAATTGTTTATTTAGTAGAAATGTTTGTTTAAAACTACTCCTATTTCAAGTATTTAGCCTTTGTTTAAGTTTAAATTTTCGTCTTTTAGTTTTCATGTGAATGTTTTTTCCTTTATTAATCATTAATTAAATCAAATTTTATTATCTCATTCTCGATTTTTTTTATTTCAATTCATTTTTAATTAACTCACTAAATCATTTTTAGCTTTAGTCTCCAACTGTTATAAGTGAAAAATAAGAAGAACCAACCTGATGCATTTCAAAATGAAAGAGAAGAGTTTTCATTTTTGTTTTAAATTCCGGATTATATTCGCTCTTAATTTAATTAATTAATTATTGAGTTTATTGTAGAACTTAAGTAAACGTTTGTATCTTTTATATATTATATTTTACTCTTCTATTGTGCAAAAAAAATGAATGAAAAAATAAGAACATTCCGGAAGAGTACTTTACAATGGCAATTTTCGATTTTTTTAATACTAGTCTGCTTTTTTTATTACTACCTACTATTAATATTAATTAAATAATTAAAAAACTAGTCGTATCCATTATAAAAAAAGATAAAAAACTTTCTTTGTTCCTTCATTTTATTATTATTTCCTAACATTTTCTTTTTATATTGTTTACTTTTTATATCTATAATCTAATAATAAAAAATACTGTAGTTCAAATCGCTGACTCGTCTTTTTATTTTGTTTTTAATATTTTTTTTTTTGTTTTTCTTGTAATTTGTATCGACGCGAGCAAAAGAAGCTTAATTTGAAATAGTATAATCAAAATTTTATGTACAAGTTTTTAAAAATGAATAAATCAGCAATAATAATTTTTTATGTAAACCATATAAACGCGTTATTTAATTTTATTCTTTTCTAAAACTGTATTAAAAAAGAAAGAGAAACGGTACGTATTAATAAACTAAATAATTTTAATCTGTTATTTGGTTAAAAAAAAGAATGGAAGTTTTAAAAATCTAATGAAAAAGTGCTCATTACGATTCTTAGTTAAAATAAAAAAATATATAACGAAAATTTTCTGTAAATAATAGCGTAGTGCACACAATTTATTATGGTAAATAATCTTTTTCCAATTTCTATATCCCAAAAGACAGAAAAAGAACGAAAAAAATATTTGTGCACAATTTGTGGCAAAATTAACGAAATCTGAATACAAAACGTACAGTTTTATACAAATAAAACGTAAAATGTAAATTAAATCTGATAGATATCCCTTGTGTACTGATATTGATCAAGATTTTATTACAATTTATAATTTTTTGATTGGTGATTTTATTGCTTCTTTAATTAAGTATTATTTAATCTGTGTAAAAAAGACTGGTTTAAATAAAATAATTGTATTTAAATAAAAATTTATAAAAAGCATAATATATTAAGTCAACTAATAATAGCAATATAATTTTCTCCTTACTTTGTATCAAAAAAAACATTTCTTTTGCTTCCTTTTTTGTGTTATTTCTTTAAATGTGCGCTTTATTTTTATATTAACATTGCACAATTTTATTGTCTGGTTATTTTTCAATTTGGTTTTCTTTTCGTTTTATTAGATTATATATTATACCAACTACTGTTTTATCAGATTAATATGAAATAAAGTGAAAAAAGATGGAAATTTACCTTTTATTACATTTACCTTTTCTTTACATTTTAGTAACACAATTAAGTTAATGGCTAAAAATGCAGCACCTAATAAAACACTTCTCCTTCTTCTTTATCATTTCCCCTAGATATTACTATCACAGCATCGGGATCCTCTATCCTACTTCTAAATCTAAGTCTGTTTCTTGCCATTTTCTTCACTTCCTGCACATTTCCTCCTATCTTGCGCACTATCTCCTCCACTCCATTTAACCATTTTATCCTTGGCCTGCCTATCCTTCGTTTTCCAACTAATCCCATATCTATTGCTCTTCTGGGAATTCTCTCTTCTAGCATTCTGACTAGGTTTCTATACCAGCTCAGCTGTTTGTGTTCTATTTCAGTTACCAGCGGTATTTGTTCTATATCGTCTCTTATATATAGTTTTGTTTCTAATTCGATCAATTCTTGTTTTCTCACAATCTTTCTTAAAAATTTTATTTCAGCTGCTGTTATTTTTGATTTGAGTTTATCCCTTATTTCAACTCCATAAGTGAGGGTCTGAGTATATATAGTTTTATAAATTTTTAATTTTGTATTTGTTCTTACTTCCTTCTTGCCCACAAATGTGTTATTCATTTGGTAATATACATTACTTGCTTTTTGTATTTCTCTGTCTATTGTTCCATTCTCTGTAACAATGGTGCCCAAGTATTCAAATTTATCCACAACTTCCAGTCTCTCCCCACTTATCATTATATTTATGTTTTTATCCTTTTCCCCTTTAGTTACATGCATAATCTCTAATCAAACAGAACCAGCACGAATACTAACTAGTAGGTACTCTCCATTACGCTTTCTAAAAAGTTTTTGATAAATATTCCCTATATTATGAAGACATGACCCTAGTTTGGATAAAACGCAAGAAACTCTAGACTTTATATGTACTACAATGAAAATAACAAAGACTCAATATGGTTATAATTTATATAAAATATATAAAAAAATATCACGAAGATCATATTCCGGGCGCCATTTGCAGGGGGGCGCCAAATAATCTCCAACACATACAAAATATTTCGGATAATTTTAATTGTTATTTTAATGGATGGTATTCATGTACAATGATATTATTATTATTACTCCCTCTGTCCCAAATTATGGTATACATTTCTCTAAAATTTATGGATTAAGGAAAGTTTGGAAAATTAACAAGTTTCTATCTATTTAATATAATATAATGTAATCTTAATTTAATTAATGAAAGAAACTAGAGTTCTGTTTGTCGAAGGTTAAATCAAATCGATGTTTTGAGGATATGTACGACTCAACGCAAATTAAAAAAGGTCATACTACATGACGCTGGATGAAGCAGAACCAGAAAGGCGCTGTAAAAGCAATCGGTTCATAACTAAAGTAATGTTTATGGCTGCAGTGGCCAGAACACGCTATGACAGTGCTAAAAAACAGTATTTCAACAGCAAAATAGGACAACAAATAGGAAACAGCAAAAACCGGGTGAGAGGCACAATGGTGGCCAAAAACATCGAGTCTATTAACGCAGCAGAATAAAAAGATGATTATCGATAACGTTGTACCAGCCATTGGATCCAAGTTGATTGGTTCCAAATTGATGATAATGGATCAAGATAACATAATTCATAAGCAATACCACCATAGTTATCTCAATTTCTTATGCACAAGCCAGGAAATCCCACAACATTAAAATTGACAATCATCTACAATAAATTCTGTTATGACTAAAAAAACTAAAGGTGATAGAGAAAAACATTTCCTTTAAAAATTGATGATAAAGGATCAAGATAACATAATTCATAACCAATGCCACCATAGCTAACACCATTTCTTATATACAAACCAGGAAATCCCAAAATATCAAAATTGACAATAATCTACATTAAATTCTGTTATGGTTAAAAAACTGAAAGTGATAGAGAAAACGTTTTCCTTAAAAATTGATGATAATGAATCAAGATAACATAATCCATAGTCAATGCCACCATAGATTTCACCATTTCTTAGGTTCAACCCAGAAATTCTCAAAATATCAAAATTGCGTTAAACTCTGTTATAAATAGAAAATTAAAGGTGGTTGAGAAAAACGTTTTCCTTAATAATGAATCAAGATAACATAATCCATAGTCAATGCCACCGTAGATATCACCATTTCTTCCCTGCTCTGTGTCGGTTCTTATGTGAATCATCCTGTATATACATATTAACTTTTTTGTAGTAAATTTTGCATATTATATCTTTTCTGGAGGGCGCCAATACAATGTCGTGTCCCAGGCGCCAGTTATGTTCGCTACGCCACTGGTTAGAAGGTTATTTCTCATATAATTTAGCAAAATCGACTGTTTTTTTCGCATTTGTTTTTAATATGAATGGCATTTTTCTGGGAACTCTACTGCTGTAGGCTTTTTTTGTAGCACAAGTCGAACTGTTTCGGGATTTGCGGTTATAGATTTTGATGCCGCGAGTGATTTGGCTATATCAAGCGCAGTAGTTGTCAGATGATTTGATCGTTTTAGTAGTCTGTATGTAGACTTTTTTGAGTTATATGATAAATAGTATCATATTGATAAATATGATTAAGTTTTGTGTTTTTCATTATAAATAATAAGTTATACATTTTTTATGTAAAATAATATAGACTTCTAATATCTTTGGTTTAAAACTTTCATTGAATTGCATTTCAGGAGCTGAGATATTATCATTTTATGGGGTTTATGTAGACTTTATTGTATCACAGATATGAGAAATGAAAGACAGATCGAACAGCTTCACATTCATCTTTATGGAGGGCTCTCTTAAACACAAACCCAGGTTGCATGTGGGTTTTTCTCTCCCACCCATGATGCACAATTATTGATAGGACTACCACCTCATATGTTCATCTTTGCAGCTAAAGTACTAACTATTGGTGAATCCCTGAATGTAGTATTTCGTCGTAAGCTTGAAAAGACTATCATATTTACCGACTTTTTAAGTGGTCTACAAGCTAATTAATAGATAAAGGGAGTCTACTTAATAATAAAGGACTAGATGTTAAGTTATTTTGGGTACTCCCATTGCGGAATACATGGTAATGAGACAGCAAACCTATTGCCCCTTAAGGTTCTTAAGCTAACTCCGCGGCCAATGCATGTCATGGACACTATCCTTGTCTATGAGATACAATAAAAGAAGAGTGGGCGGTAGATTGGTGTGAAACAATATTGTACAAGGGAAGATGGTATGCTGAGATGGAGCTAAGCATTGGGAAACCTGCCTGGTTTGAAGAAATTCAACAAATATTAAGTTTCCATCCATGAAAATGATAATGTTAACATTTTTCGACACTAGTCTTTAATGCTCCTATTAGGTAAATCACAAGCGTTTTAAATTACAATCCTTACTTCATTATATTCTTCTGAATATCTAAAAATTACATTAATTAAATGTTTAAAAATTACAGTTTTTTTACAGGTTAAATATAAACAATTTATATTTTGAAAACTTCTAACCTCAATCAATTTAGAACGTATCCATAAACTTGACAGTTTTGACATAAATTCGGTTTCTATGTACACACGAACATTTCAGCAATTTACAATAACACAAAATTATCATTCGTATCGAACGAAGCTTAACACAATAATATAACGTAATAAATTAGCAAAAAAAAAATTAATACAGAATAAATTTAAAATTGGCGCCATAATAAGGCGAACAATTTTTTGGGGAATTCCGTGAAGAGGAAGAAGAAACTGTGCGCGTTAATATCGGCTAACTTCAAGCCGGTGAACTTAAACAGCAACATGGCGCAGTGGTAGTGTTTCACAAGACGCGTGCAAAATGTGCTATAATTCCAAAAACTGAAGCAATTGTTTAGTTTTTTCAGTTGCGCGTAGTGTGTACAGAAGTTATGTCATCGTTGCAATACGTCGTTCACCCCTTACCGGGGTCCGAAGACCAATTTAACGATAGGTAAGCGGGCCCGCATTTAGTATTAAGTACGTAGTGCCAATCGTTCTTTTTCTTCCACCATTTCCCTTTATGCCCCGTCGGCGCTACTCTTCAATTCTCAAAAACGAGAAAATGGAAACCGCGACCCTCGTACTAAATTAATAAACCGAAGGTGCGGCTTACCACGGCTCGATGGCCGTGTCAACCATTTTATGAGACCTTTTCCGCATCTCATTTTGTCTTTTGGAATTTTCGCCTTTACGCAAAACGACTCTCCGACGAAATTCCAATGCTATACACAAATATATTGACAAACTGTCATTTTACAAAATTACGACGTAATTCGTTTTTTCTTATTATTATTCTTACTATTTGGGCATAAATTTTTCTCTCCTTCAACAATACATTTGGTAGAAAAAGATAACTTAATTTTATCAAGTACTCATAATGATATGTTCATATTATTTTTCTAGGAATTTATTTACATATAGTTTTAATTACTAATACATTGTTATGACTCATTTTTTCCTAATAATAATAATAATAATATCATCTTCTAAAATGTTCTAGATTAATTCCAAATATTTAATACCACTATTTAGCTTATTTATTACAAATATTTTTATATCAAATTTAAACTAAATTCCAGCATTTTTTCAAAATAGCCAATTACAAGAATTTAATCACAAACATTGTAATGACTCAAATTTCTAATACAATTTAACTTGCAGATAAAGATCAATGTTTTAAATTTTATTTTAATTGTAAATCTTATTTTAATCCTAATAGATTAAAAGAAGTAGCCGATCGAATAAATCGTCAGGGTCACACATCACATCCGGTGTGGTCAAATCTACGTACGCCCGTGAAACGTATAGCCTTGGGCCCCCAGCACATAGCTTTACTTCTCGAAGACGGTCGCGTGTGTAGGACTTCATATAGTGTCATATCCGATAGGTTAGATTTGACAAAAAATGATCAAAATAAGAAGTAAGTATAATAAACGTTTTTGCGATGTTGATAAATAATTGTATTAAAGTTCTTATAGTACCATTAATGGTGGAACTGGTGGCGGTGCTGGAAGCGGCGGTGGTAACGGTTCTGGTGGATCAGGTGGCACCAAACCTGCTGGAAGGCAAATTCGGACAAGAGCAAGGTGTATGAGATCGAATACTGCCATTCGTGGTGGTAATAATAGTGGTAATTTGATGATACAGTAGAGCGTTGATAATCTGGATTATCAAAATGTCTGGATTTTCAAAAAGAAACAAAAATAATTCAGTTTTGTGGTTAAATAATTAAGCAGATAAATAAAAGCAGTAATTAATATTAACTTATAATATATTTTAATGAAAGAATATAGATACATACATATGTAATGTATTTGTACAATGTGTATTTATAGAATACTGTACAAGTTATACAGTGTCTGCTCTTAAAATAACGTGTTATTGATTTTTGAACTGCAGTAGTTGTTCGCTTTTTTGCGGCCAAGTCTTTGATTCGTTTTAACCTCTTGTGGTTCATCTTGTGGTGGCTCAACTTAAGGATACAATTTGCTACAACTTTTGTTGTAAAAGTTTTTCTGTATCATGCTCCCTATATCGATTTTTTTGATACTCTTTTAATTTTCATATTTTTGAAAAATTCTCTACATTGATGCATCTGGGAGCAATGTGTTAAGGGTACAATTTGCTACAATTTTTATTGTAAAAGTTTTTCTGTATCATGCTCCCTATACCGTTTTTTTATAGTCTTCTAATTTTCATATTTTTAAAAAATTCTCTACATTGATGCATCTGGTAGCAAAAGTGTTGATGAGCAATGTGTTAAGGGTACAATTTGCTACAACTTTTGTTGTAAAACTTTTTTTTGTATCATGCTGCCTATACCGATTTTTTTTCATACTCTTCTAATTTTCATATTTTTGAAAAATTCTCCAAATTGTGCATCTGGGAGCAAAGTGCTACAGAGCAATGTGTTAAGGGTACAATTTGCTACAACTTTTGTTGTAAAAGTTGTTCTGTATCATGCTCCCTATACCGATTTTTTTTATAGTCTTCTAATTTTCATATTTTTGAAAACTTCTATACATTGTGCCTCTGGAAGAAAGTGCTACAGAGCAATGTGTTAAGGGTACAATTTTCTACAACTTTTGTTGTAAAAGTTTTTTTGTATCATGCTCCCTATACCGATTTTTTTAATACTCTTCTAATTTTCATATTTTTGAAAAATTCTCCACATTGATGCATCTGGGAGCAATTCGCTACAACTTTTGTTGTAAAAGTTTTTCTGCATCATGCTCCCTATACCGATTTGTTTTATACTCTTCTAATTTTCATATTTTTGAAAAATTCTGTACATTGATGCATCTGGGAACAAAAGTGCTACAGAGCAATGTGTTAAGGGTACAATTTGCTACAACTTTTGTTTTAAAAGTTTTTCTGCATCATACTCCCTATACCGATTTTTTTTTATACTCTTAATTTTCATATTTTTGAAAAATTCTCTACATTGGTGCATCTGGGAGCAATTCGCTATAACTTTTGTTGTAAAAGTTTTTCTGCATCATGCTCCCTATACAGATTTTTTTTACTCTTTTAATTTTCATATTTTTGAAAAATTCTCTATATTGATGCATCTGGGAACAAAAGTGCTACAGAGCTATGTGTTAAGGGTACAATTTGCTACAACTTTTGTTGTAAAGGTTTTTCTGTATCATGCTCCCTATACCGATTTTTTTGTATACTCTTCTAATATTCATATTTTTGAAAAATTTTCTACATTGGTGCATCTGGGAGCAATTCGCTACAACTTTTGTTGTAAAAGTTTTTCTGCATCATGCTGCCTATACCGATTTTTGTTTTATACTTTTCTAATTTTCATATTTTTGAAAAATTCTGTACATTGATGCATCTGGGAGCAAAAGTGCTACAGAGCAATGTGTTAAGGGTACAATTTGCTACAACTTTTGTTGTAAAAGTTTTTCTGTATCATGCTCCATAATTCTGTACATTGATGCATCTGGGAGCAAAAGTGCTACAGAGCAATGTGTTAAGGGTACAATTTGCTACAACTTTTGTTGTAAAAGTTTTTCTGTATCATGCTCTCTATACCGATTTTTTTTTTACTCTTAATTTTATATTGTTGAAAGATTGTCTATATTGATGCATCTGGGAGCAAAAGTATTGATGAGTAATGTGTTAAGGGTACAATTTGCTACAACTTTTGTTGTAAAAGTTTTTCTGTATCATGCTTCGGATACCGATTTTTTTTTTTTTTTGAAAAATTGTCTACATTGATGCATCTGGGAACAAAAGTATTGATGAGCAATGTGTTAAGGGTACAATTTGCTACAACTTTTCTTGTAAAAGTTTTTCTGTATCATGCTCCCTATACCGATTTTTTTTATACTCTTCTAATTTTCATATTTTTGAAAAATTCTCTACATTGATGCATCTGGGAACAAAAGTATTGATGAACAATGTGTTAAGGGTACAATTTGCTACAACTTTTCTTGTAAAAGTTTTTCTGTATCATGCTCCCTATACCGACTTTTATACTCTTCTAATTTTCATATTTTTGAAAATTGTCTACATTGATGCATCTGGGACCAAGTGTTGATGAGCAATGTGTTAAGGGTACAATTTGCTACAATTTTTGTTGTAAAAGTTTTTCTGTATCACAGGATGTTGAATTAAGTGTTGTCACAGGATTGTTGTCATAGGAGTGAAACTTGGAAAATGTCTCAATAAATCTAGATGGCTGTAGAGTTCTAGAACGTCTGTGTTCTAGTTCAGCATATATTTCTATTATTTTTTCACCAATTTCCACAAGAAAATATAACCTTTTTTTTACCTCACAACTTCTTGTATAGTAAGCATTTATAGCGTAGTTATACTTAAAAAATGATGAAAAATCTTCATGTAATACTTTTTAAGTTGACTGCTTGTTGTAGCATAAAAGTGAAGATAGTTACCTGCTAATATGTATTACTAATATTACCTGCTGTATTTTAACCAGTATAGATGAATAACTGGAACCGCTTTCACATAGTTCAAGTACTTTTATACCAAACCTTTAGGTTTTGTTGGACTGTATTGTCTCCAAATCAATCGTCCTTTCCATCCAATAAGTCTCTTGCTGCTTTAGATTTTTGAGAATGGGAAGAACTTTTGGCCAGAAAACGATAAATTTTAATAAGAGATGAAATATCCTTTCCGACATTATTTTTAAAAAGAAAGGTGTGTATGCAGAATCATTCAAAAATCCGCTGACAGGCTTCTAGAGCAGGTAATACAAAATGCTCGCAAATGCCTTCTCAACGAGATATAGCGGGTCAAAGTTTCTTTAAAATTAAACATTATGTGCAATAAAAACCCCTTTTTAAAAATATTGTCTATACCATTGCTAATGTTATCAAACGGGTAGTATTTTCGTGTAAAGTGATCAATTGGTCTCTTACAAAACTTTGATCAAAGCAATATTTTTTATTGCTGATAATGTTTAATTTTAAAGAAACTTTGGCGCCCTATATCATTCTCGTTAGCCCATGTATATTAAGACTATTCATCTGAATTTTTCATGTATTACCTGCCCTAGAAGTGTCTGTCAGCGGTTTTTTAAATCACCTGTATATACTTTCACGTTTGGAAAAATACAATTGATACTCTGGTTTCTGGTTCAAACCTTGTATAATCAACAGTTCTATAAGGGTCTATTTCTTTGGAATTTGTATTTTTCCATTTCTTTACTAGAGAGTTTTGTTATAACTTTGTAGCATTATTAGCAAGATATTTACTTGTTTCAATAACAATTAACTCGATTACATCATCAAGAAATTGTTCAAATATAGCTAATGTGTAATTATACATTGTAATCCATTTGTACCTGTAAGCCCAATGGAGCCACAAAGGGAAATGGAGGTCTACGAATACCGTTGGTGGTTCAAGAGATCCAAATGGTTGTAGTCTCTGTTGTGGGATGGCAATATCGTGAATCGTCTTGTTCACTAGATTCTTGGTCCTCACTCGATCGAATTTCTTTCTCAGAACTTGTTAGTTATCAACAGTCAACCACTCCCTGGAATCATTTTCATCGCATTCTTCGTTATCATTTACACTCAACTTCTTCGCCAGCATTTTGCATTTTTTTAATGAAAGGCGACGCAGGAGATGCTTTTTGTAGATTTTTTATTTTCTGCCAAAATTCATTCTTGTACCATTCAAGAAAAGCTATCAGACTGAACTCATCCATGTGCTTTTTTGTGATGTGTACTAAATAGGAAGAGTACAATTTTTAAAACTGCGTGAATTTTTGCTCTTGTCAATCACCAACAAATTTATTTTGTACTCCCCACATGCATTAGCGCATACCAATGCAGTAATCCTTTCTTTGCTCACTTTAAACCCGGGAGGGGATTATTTACGTCTTGAGGCCAGTGACTTGCGTAGAAGAGTCATCCCTAGAACAACTTCCCAAGTGCAGTTTTTGTAACTTTTTCAATAAAAGTACACCCAGGCACTAAATCCGAAGGAAGTTTTTCTCCTTAAATCTCCAGCCCCCTAATACCAAAGGCTTAAAGTTTTTAGGCCATTGAGATATGGCTTTAAAATCTGCGTTCCATTAAGTAGCTCATTTAATTTTAGAACATTTTCGCACATTGCCTGAAGTGGGCCTGAAATTGTCTCTCCTAGACTTCTCCTTTGGGTAGATCACATGCAATACATTGCATCCTTCAACGTTTTGTCTTTTGCTGAATGCGCAGTTTTTCTTTTTATTGTCCCTTTTTCAGAGTCCAGTTTTGAAGCAAGTTTTTTTTGCCTTAATGTCATTTATAATGGATATTGCTACCCCATAAATCCTGGCAAGTGATGCTCCACTTTCACTTTATATTAACCTTTCTAATACTTTTAATTTAGTTTCAACGTTTAAGAAAGCGTGCTTTTTCTTTGAAATCTTTGTTCGTGACGCCATCGCTAAACACAGACTCACTACCATACTATTGGACACAAACAATCGGCTATAGAAACAATGTTTTGAGTATGCTTAGAAAACAATACAATACAGGTTATTATGATCATTTCAACTTTTTTTTCACCAAAATTGAATCCAGTTTATCGAAAGTTCGGATTTTTGACGTCCGGATTATCGACGCTCTATTATAATTAAATTTGAGGGATGGTGAGTTATTTTAATTGTAATTCTAGGTCGAGGGGCTCCAGTAATTATAGGTACTGGAGGATCTAGTAGTGGTAGACCCATTGTAACTGTTCCGGCACCATATGTACCGGAAGAATTGGTATCTCAAGCGCAAGTTGTTTTACAAGGAAAAAGTAGAAATTTAATAATTAGGGAACTTCAGCGCACGAATTTGGATGTTAACCTAGCTGTTAACAATTTACTATCAAGGGACGATGAAGAAGGTGAAGAAGGAGATGATGCAGCTGATTCATACGTTCCAGATGACCTTATCTCACTGTTGGACGGTGGTTTTCATACAGACCACTCGGTTATTATTGATGCGGACGCAATGTTTTCTGAAGATATGTTTGGGTACACTGGAATTCGCAAGTAAATTGCCCTTTTTTAGCTTTCGTTTTCGCTTTTATTTTTAACTCTCCTTCCATCTGTCTGTTCCGTTGCCCATTCGCCCTTTTACTTTTTGATTCTTTATTTTTTAACTTAAACCTGTTTGGCTGTTTGACTTTGCTCAAACTAGCTTCTTGAATAGCCGTGGCGGTGGCAGCAGTCGCAGCCGACTCAACGACCGGGACGCCCCCCAATGTAACAACTCGGGAATGGATAGAGATCGTGACAGGGATAGTTTTTTGAGGTGGAGGGATCGACAGTATTTTGGGCCGCGCCGATGGCTTGAAACCGCTTTAAGGGATAATGCTTATGAAAAAGACTCTGAGAGCAAGAAAAAAGATGGAGCTAGTCCTCTTTGGATTTCAGATGAATTGGAATATTGGCCAGATACAGCTGGAAGGTTTACACAAATTGCCACATTATTTAGTGAGTTGATTGCTTTATCAACTACTGGACATATTTATCAGTGGCGTTGGAATGATCCAGAACCTTATAAACATCCAGACGTAAGTGCTATCGTTTTCTCAATTTAGTGCAGTGGTAAAATGGTCCAAAATACAGTTTATGTATTATATTATATGGTAATATATTATGAATAATGTATACATTGGTACCCTTCATAGAAGTTCACCTCTTTTTGGTTTTTTTTTAAACAATTTTGAATGTTTACTAATTGAAGTTTTAATGTTTACAGTTATATAGGTGATTCTTTAAATCTGGTAATTAAAAATCTGTTTGTTTAATGGACAGAAAATTAACAAAAAGTCTTCAATTTTAGAACTTCTACAAAAAATGCAAAAAAAACAATCTGGTAATGACAAACTTACTAGAATTATTATAAAATTTGAATCCTAACATCTATTTCTGTACTGAACGTTTTTTCAGATTTATAAATAACTAAATACTCTCAAAGGAAATTCTATGGTTAAAATTGTTAAAATCACGTTTTTTGAAGTAACGATCTATTTTCTTCCATTCCCCTTTTATATTTGTTATGGGATATTGTCATATTTTATATTAATTGAATTATTATTACCTTGTTGAAACATAAATGATTTCGTCGCAATCTCAACATTTCTAGCGCTTGCTAATAAATTACTTTTTAAAATATCAAGATAATATTATTTGTTTATGATACCATTTATCAACGCAATATTTCTTACACTATTAGTGACATAATGCTGCCACCTCCGTATTTTACTGTTGGGCACAGATTTATGTTTTTAATGTTTCCTTATGTTTTCGCCAAATTTCACTGCGTGGCAATGAATTAAATTAATTTTTGTTTGGCTACTAAAAATTGTTACTTAAGACAGAATCATAAGTTTTTAATGGAGTATTTATGTTTGGGGAATTAAAAAATCAATAATTTTCACGAATGTTTTTAAATGTTAAGAATTTATTTTTCCTGAAACTACTCATGTAATGTTGCTGTTTTGATAAAAAAAAAGTTGGAATTTCCAGACTCTGTATGATATTATTTTACCGTACTCCTTTTCCAGACTCTTTCTGCCTTCAATTTTTTTCTGATCTAAAGCCTAATGGAATTTGTTTGAAATTTGTATTCAAACAAATCAAAAGTAAAATTGAATTTTACCAGCAAAAATTGATCCATTAGTTTTTATGCAATTATGTTATGTAATTGAAGAGTAACTAAACATTTTCAAGCAGCATATGCACGGTAAAAACGTCAGTATTTTCATGGTATTCCAAATATTAAAACTTTTGCTTATTCTCCATAAACTATAGAATCAAAATAGCGATTAAAAAAATTCGTTTTTTCTTTCGATTTTGAAACCCCCTAAATCTTATTTTCCTTTCTGAAACGCATAATGTAACTGAAAGAAATAGAACAAACATATAGTAAGTGTAAACATATTGTCCAAAGTGCTAATTTCGGCATTGTTCATCATCAATTGCAATGTGTTAATGAAATCAGAAAGTAATTAATAAACCAATATGCACATCATATAGGTTTATTGAGGACTTTAACTATATTTGCATAATTATCATGTAAAACTACGTGAAATATTTTGGATAATGTATTTTTAGAATATTATCACGTGTGGATGTTGATCATAAATGGTTCATTTCCAAAACACAATAATCTTATTTTCTACACATAGCTGAGGTGATTTTTTCGGTTTGATTGTAGGTGTCTAGAATTATCCCATTGAGTTGAACTTTTTAAACATTCGTTACTACCAGTACATACCATTTTGTGCAGATTATGCTTCAGACGAAACTTCACGAAGTAAGGGACAAGTTGTGTTTTCTTGAATGGACTATTGAATCCTTAAAATGATTCAGAATGATTTCCTAAAATGAATGATGGGACAATGAACAATGATTAATTTGTATTATCAAAATCTTATTAAATTTCATTGTCAGATTATTTTGTTGTACCCCTCCTTATGAATTAAGATTTGCGCAAAACTCATTTGTTTTCGGTGATTTTACCGTAAGTTTTTACCTTAAGTTTTCGTTCATTCATTGAAAGTACAATTCTTCTTTTAAAATATCTGCAACTAATGAATATGGACACAACATTCATAACAAGATAATTTCACTAATAATAACAATGAATTAGTTAATAGCATTGAACAAAAGTAACTCTTGTGTTTATGTATTGTTACTCTACCCATCAATACGAATTCGAATTATTTTAGAGCTTTTCCATTAACAACTTCTTTGAAGGTATCTATAATTTAAAAGCGATGCTTAAATATTACATGTTAAGCCGGTTAATTCTTAAAAAAAAATTGCTAATGCTTATTGACTGTAATGTTGGTGTGTATTAGTTGCAAAACAAGCTGTTGAAAAAATCAGAAATTTTCTCCATATGACTTATTTAGTGATCAATCTAAATTTCCATAGCTAAACAATATACCAAAAGAACAAACAAGGCTGATTGTACAAGTTTTCAGGTTTATGTTTCATAAGTATATCAATATTGATCCAATTTTCAAGTTAAATCTTAAATGTACTTTTTGTAATGTCTTGATAAAACCATTCTTATCGCCTTATTTTCAGAAAAAAATACAACATTTTCTCCCTTAATTCGTACTATATTGTTTAACACAAAACCTTATTTTAGCCCACTTTATCACTGTACTAAAAAGCAATTGTGTTATAAATGATGATAAATGCTAACCATTGATAAAACCATGATATTTTTTATGATTAGTCTTTCTGATTTACATTAAATATTTTTTATTTATAAAATTTAAATAGAAACTAGATAATATAGTAAGATTTATTGTAGAATCCAAATATACACCATCCAAAAACAATTTCACTTGGATTATCAGGCGAAAAGATTGTACATATATCGGCGAGTTCAACGCGGTGTTCTTTAGCGACTGAATCTGGGAAAGTAGCAACATTTGTAGATGATACCCTTACAGCTGCATCTGCGAAACTTGAAAGTCCAGCCCAAGCCTATTCCGAATTCCAAACGGATAAAATTGTTGCTTTGCATACATGTCCATTGTATACAGTGGCTAAACTAGAAAGTGGTTCTTTGTATTGGTGGTAGGTAAAAAAATTATGTATCTTAACAATGATGACGAATTGTTCTTTAAAGGGGAGTATTACCCTTTCCCCAGAGGAAACGATTATGGGAAAAATACAGAGCGAAATTCAGAAAACAGCGAGCGAATCAATGTGATTTAGTAAGCGGCGCACAAGTCTGCATGAAAAATAGTCCTATGTATCAAGCTGGAGCCTTAGGTTTTACCGTTATGGCTGGTGTTCCTAAAGTAGGGCAACTTCAAAATGCCGCTTGGTCTTTAACAGACACTTGTTCATTTAAAATCGTCACAGCACAACCTATTTCTGATCGAGTTAGAGATTCAACGCCTGGAACAAGCGGTATAACATTATAAAAAAATAAAATTTACAAATTTAAATTATTTCTTTTGCTAGGCTCCTCTTCTACTAAAAACACAAATAAAGAAACTGCTGATCGATTGGATATGCCACCACCTCCTTCTCCAGCTTCAAGTACTTGCAGTGATACAGGAAGCATATCAAACAGCCATAGTACGTTCTTTTTCTATAAATTAATTATTTTAGTCATAAACATTTTCTTGTAGAACGTCAAAAGAGAATGACAGTTTCCGGGTCAGATCAGGGACCAGAACAAAGAAAAGATGAGGAAACTTGGCAACTTAGAGACGTAATATTTTTGGAAGATACACGCACTGTACCAGTGGGACGAGTGCTTAAAGTTGATGGGGCGTATGCAGCAGTTAGATTTCCATCAACTCATACTAGAGATCGCGATGGGAACAAAGATGCGGATGATATTCTTCAAGATTGTAGATTAATGAAAAAAGATGATCTGCAGGTGGGTATTTTAAAATAGCGAAATTTAATCGCTTTGATACGCCCCAATCTAACTAAATTTATCAGGTTTTATTGGCAAGTTAACAAAGCAAAAACAAACGGATTGTTAATTTTAATTGTGAAAACACTCTGGAAGTTTTTCATTATAAATAATCCAACAAACATACTTAAATCGAAAAAGAATTATAATTCGGTTATTTAATCGATATTATTTGATGTAGGTTTTAAAATCAACAGCAACGTTTAGAGCACCAGATTGTTTCCAAAAAACACCACGTAAAATTCAAATATCAGATAACTCGGGACAAATTTTAACTGTTGCTGTGGACGCACAAGGAATCCACGCCGTCGTTCGTACAGCTACAAAACTTTCTTACGTCGTTTACAACATTTGTAGCGGAAGGGTTGAAGTTGACAATCCATTTCCTAGCGATACAGCCGCTTTTATGGGCTTATATCCCAGTTATATTCATTTATGTTGTGCTGCAGAGGTACTTACAAACATATCATTTATACCTTATTTAATTAATATATTAAAAATTTTAGAGTAACGAAACCATTTTAATTTTGCGCGATGGAAACAACACAATTTATCCTCTAGCAAAAGATTATGCAGAAGCAATCAGGGATCCTCAAGCTTTAGATTTACCACCGATTCGGTCAGTTGGCGCTGGAACTGTTGTTCTTGGAGGAACTGCCCCGAATATGAAAAATCAAGTCGCTATTATTCTTTTTGCTTTAGAACAACAGCTGCTGATGCCGAAAGTATTAAGATGTGACTTGGAAGGATCCAGACAAATTTTGGCTCAGTTAGAAGTCGATAGTAGTAAGTTCAATGTTTTTTAAGTATTTAAGATTTTAAAATTAAATTTTATTGTAGAAAATAATCCAAGTATAATTCATAATTTATTAAACGAACGCTGTGATGGAAATAGAAACATTTTCCATGCAGTTGTTAACATGTGTACACCAACATCAAATAAAGAATCCGATAATAGTAAGTTACACGTTACTTTTTTATTGTTTTCACATTTATGAACCATATTTTTTTTTTTAATTTAGTAGATACTCCACCACCACCAACAACAAATTCTACACCAGGTTTAGAATGTATTAACGTAATAACAAACGCTGTGGGAGCTCGTTCAGTTTCACTACGCGATATGATGCGGCGCGGTGTTCGCCCTGAAAGAGAAATAAATAATTCTAATGGCGAGCAGCATTCCTTTGTCCAAGAAGAGCCTATTCCAACGCATTCTTGGCCGCCAGAGTCTTTTGATGTAACGTCTGGTGATGAAGATAGTTTGATGGGATTAGGAAGTAGCTCAGCAAATAAAACAAACGTTAACAGCGTTCCAATACCACCTGTGAACTCGGTAACGGATCCTTCTGAGCGCAGATCCAACGCGATGAATATTCTAAGGGCTTTGCTATATGAATCTGCTGTTTTAACACCTCACCTTATAGAAATGTTATGCGCTAAAGATGCTCAAGGTCAAACACCGTTTATGTTGGCGGTTTCATCTAGATGTTATCCAGCCGCTTTAGAATTATTTGATAGAATTATGCAAGTCGGAACGCCAAGTGAACAGGAAGAAATGATATTTCCAAAAGGATCTAACCCAGATCATTCCCCGTTACACGTTTTGTGTTGTAATGACACTTGTAGTTTTACTTGGACTGGAGCTGAACATATTAATCAAGACATTTTCGAATGTAGAACATGCGGATTAACTGGATCTTTGTGTTGCTGTACAGAATGTGCTCGAGTTTGTCATAAAGGTCACGATTGTAAACTAAAGAAGACATCGCCAACTGCTTATTGCGACTGTTGGGAGAAATGCAAGTGTAAAGCGTTAGTTATGGGAAATCAAGCGGCGCGTTATGAGTTACTCGATAAATTAGTTAGAGATACTAGTTTGGTTGTAGCCCCAAATTCAAGGTATTGGGAGATTTGGATGTTTAAAAGTGTTTTAAGTTGAATTTTGTTTTAGGGGTGAAAATATTTTGTTGTTTTTAGCTCAAACTGTTGGTAGACAAAACCATGAACAGAGGCAATATAGAGCTGCAAGACCAAGAACAGCTTCAGCTAATTCTAGAAATAAAACACCTTCATCTGATGGTAAATATAATAAGTTAAATAAATCAGCTCTGCAAATCCACTGATTTAATTTTATTACCCTATAGTTAAATCAGTCGCAAATCAGAGCAAAAATAACGCTTATACATTATCTGATTGTTATTATCATTTATATTTGTGATAATAAAATTTGAGTATAAGTTACATTTTTTTACCATGATTAAAATATTTCGTAAGTGACACCACTGAATTTATTTTAGTTGAAGTTGATGTACCAGAACATGATTTAGAACCACCGCGCTTCAGTAGAAAAGCTTTAGAACATTTATTAAAAGATTGGAAGGCTGTTCAAAGTATGATAATGACCGGTACAAAAGAACAAAGAGATCCATCTTCTGTTGAACAGCAGTATATTGGAAATCAATCTGGAACAACTTTGCTCGATAAATTCACTCACAGCTTATTGGTAAAATGTTACATCGAAGCGTTAGAACGATTATTAGAAACGCTCGTAAGAGAATTAAAGAAACCGGACGCGAAACACGTTAAAAGTGTCATGGTTGTCGCGAGACGTTTTGTAAGATCGGTTGTTAGAATCTTTGTGATATTTAATATTGAACTTGCACCAGTGCCTAAAAAGAGAGCGTAAGTAATTTTTTTTGTCAACGATTTCCTTTGCAATATATTTTTTTGACTAGCTTTTCCAACAGCCCTAATACACCCATCGGTAAATGTCGGAAAGTTTTTCGTTCCCTTGTTACAATAGCAATACAAGAATTATGTGAAACTGCCGATTCTTTAATTGCTCCAGTACGTCATGGAGTTGCAAAACCTACAGCGCCATTTTCCTTAGCAACTGCAATTGCAGATATTGTCACAGTAAGTTAATAAAAAAAATAATGTTTCTTTTAATTTATCGGTCGTTTTGCGTTATAGAGTTCTGAAGAACTATTTCTAGTCGATCCTTTAGCACCACCCGGTGCTCGCAGTCCAGCTAATAACTCAAATATCTCCACAAACGAACCCCTTCCGTTTTTAAGCGATGGCGTTCGACTAGCACCCACATCCGCTCGCGATTTAGATGACACAAACGATGGCGAAAGTATGGCCATTGATAACGACGATGATAACGCATCTGAACACGCTGACGGTCCTGGTTATCGTGAAATTCCAATCGTACGTTCTGATAACCAAGACGCACCAGCTGAACAACCGGAAGGAAACGCCGGTCAGGCTGAAGATAGTGATCCCGAATTGGATTTGCTGGCTGAAGCGGAAACCGAGTCCGACAGCGATGACAATCACAGTAATCAGGACGCGGCATCCGCACAGCGTTCCGTTCAAACGGGAGCTACGGCTGGATCCGATACAGGTTAGCATTAATAATAATAAAAAAAAATTTCCTAAATATTTTTATGCTAGGAATGTTACTCTTCCCTGAAGATGAAAGTGGTGAATCAAGTCAACAAGAAGAAGAAGAAAGTGAGGCAGGTGAAACTGACGAACAAGATACGGAAGATTATACATTAACAGACGAACAATTGGAGAGAAGGAGGTAAGTTGACGCTTGTCATCGATGATATAGCGGAGGATGTTTACGTGCTATCTGTTGCTTTTGTGTGCTGATTTTTTTGATTGTGTCTATGAAAGAAGCCGTTACAGTAATGCGACCGGCCACGGCCCGCGAACGAATCTTGCGCCACTCAACATGCAATGGGCGATACGCTCGCGGGACGCTTCAAGATCGGCCGGCGTGAGGATCACCGGGACAGGATCAAACCTCGTCTTCATCGATCCCAGCTCTTTGAGACGTTCAACAACTGGAAGTACCGCCGTCGCAGCGAGTACGGAACCCGTTACGATGGCCACGACTGCGAGTTGCCTTTCTCGAGCTTTTGGTATCGTCATTCGACAAATTTCTGATTTGTTGTCTTTAATGCAAGATTTACCACAAATACCTCCTACACCCTTTGCTCATTTGGATATCACTCAGGAAGATATTTTCAATATTCAAGTAAAAAAATGAAATAATTAAAAAGCAAGTAACATTTATTAATTTTTTGTTTAAATATTTAGGTTTATTTAGAGTTCCGCCTTAAAGATACATGGGATTGGCTTTTAACAGTCATGGATTCCACGGAGGCTCAACTTAGATTTGGAGCTTCTTTAACACATTCATCAGATATAGCTCATCCTGGTCACCCAGTTAACACTGGAACTAGTTCAGCTGGTTTAGTACGCGGTGGGAGGGCCCAAATAACAACAACCTCTTCCAGTGGATCAACAAGAATCGTTGGATTTGCAGCAAACGTTGAAAATTCGCGATCACGAGTTGATCGAGATGGTAACATATTTAATTTACAATCACCCGCAATTATAATTTACTTGGACGCTTTAGGTGTTGATACTTCAGCCGCTCGAAGAGAATTCTTATCATATTGCTTATCTTTGATGAGATCCCATAATGGAGAGCACTTGGATTCATTGCCCATCTTAGATGTCTCAGCATTAAAACACGTTGCGTACGTTTTTGACGCTCTAATTTATTATATGCGATCTGGAACGAATACAGATGCTAGTGAAACGGAATCTTTACGCGATGGTCATCCTTTACCGCAATGGAATGATCAAGATGAGAATGAAAATGAAGAAGGTGAAGAAGAAATTCCAGTTGCCATGGAAACTGAATCCTTGGATGATCAAGAAGTTTCAAATATTGCGAATATGTCGAATAATTTAAATACTTCATCTTTATCATTATCTGGAAAAGGACGAAAACACCCTTTCTTTCAGGTATTAACTAATATCTTTAAAATCATTTTTGTATTAATTTTTTATTTTTGCAGAGATCCGAATCAACACTTTGTTTAGGTTGTCCACCACCAGATCCTTTTGAAACCCCAATGGCTGAAGCTTTACCTTTAGCCGATCAACCACACTTACTCCAACCAAACGCAAGACGAGAGGACCTTTTTGGAATCCCAAAACAACCAATCGCTTTAACGCCGACCGGCCCTAATTCAAGTAACCCTCTAGAATCCTTACCTGACCGATTAAGTCTTTCATCAAGAACTTCAGACTTTGCCATGTCACAACCGATCCGAGCAAATCATCCGATATCGTCTTCCTTCAATGTGATGGGACCAAATCCCCTGCACTATCCTCAGAGTTTTGCCGACGGTGACAATGATGGTAGCGGAACCGTTCCACAACAGGTAAAAGAAGCCCAAGTTCAAACGGAACAAGCCACTGCTGGACCAAGTACGAGTTCTGGTGATTTGTTGGTGACGAGAAAAATGAAAAAATACAGATATCTTTATACAAAATTAGAAAATCATGGTGATGTTAATGATGGTCCCCAAGATTTGTCATGTGGAAGAGATGTAGCCATGATTAATGAAAGCAGTGGGGATGGAATTAAAGAAGGTTTGATTGATTTCTTTGCAGAATTTCATTTATATTTTATTACTTTTCTATTTAGAACCTGGTCAATTATCATCAAGGCCTCAAATTATTGTTTCTCCAAGGAAACCACCGGATTCAAAACATGGTGGCCACTCTATTCCTTTATTTTCTGGAGATATGACTTCAGATTTTATTATACAAAATAAAGTTAGTTGTGTTCCTATTGGGAATACCGGAAATAATACAAATAACGTGTCGTCTAGAAGTCCGAATAAAAGTGTTATAGTTAGAGCTGGATCTTCAGTAAGTTATTCACACACTACTATTTATTATTATAAAGAAATTAAGGGGAAATTGATACGTACACATATAGTATTTAGTTAGATGTGTATCACCATATTTCCCCATAGCATTTTGCTTTCTGATGACTGCATTTTGTTAAGACTTTAAAATGTGGACAGATACGAAGCACACATCAATATACAGGGTGAGTTATTAGCCTATATGTGCCCCAACGGTCGATAGTTACTAAATCGTTTGAAAAACAAAAAAATTTTTTATACAAAAATTATTTGACTCACTTTCTATTACGTAAAATTATTTTCACTTATACAGGATGTTCCATTTAAGCGTAACAGAGAGTACATAAATTTAATTAGATGGAACACCTGTATATTTTATCATATGAATACAACTAAATTTGTTTATACAACCGTATATGTTACTATTTCACAACGTTCATAGTTCCTGAGATATTCAATTGTTTTTTCAAAATCTGCCCATTACAGGATCCTTTTAAAAACGATGTAAAAACGACATTTTTTCCGATTTTGTCTTGAAACTACGTCAGACAATAGTCAAAGCCAGTTGGTAAATGATAGTATTCAAAGATATTAGATACACTATATAGGCTGTTTATAAAGCTTAGTTACTTTTGATGTTTTTCAAATGGCTTATTAAAGTTTTTTAAATGGAATACCTTGTATATTGTGTGCTAGTGGAATTGCTCATCAAGTGCCCTTTAATTAATGATAAGTATGTCATATGTGTAACTTTAATAGTTTTCTTTTTTTGTCACATTTTGTTTTTCTTTTTTGTTTGTTTGTCATTTGTAAATCTGTAATATTATATTAAAATACAATTAAAAAAAAAACTTTAATGAATAAATAATCAAAACGTGATAAAAATACAATTAAATGGCAGAACAATAAATCCCTTTTTTAATTACTAAATTATTTGAAGGAAATGCAGCAACTAACTATAAATAATTACTAAATCTTGCTCAATAAATAGGTATTAATTTAATTAATATTTAGAAGTTGTTCAAAATGCCGCCCATTTTCTCTTCTACAAGTATTAATGCGCTGTAGTTAAGATGATACTGGTTTATGAAGTTGCATTTACAAATAATTGTTGAAGTTGTTATTATTATTTCTTATTGTCACGTTATTATTTGTTTTATAGAGCCAAAAAGTTGGAGATACTGATATAGTAATGTGCGTAGAAAATCAACAAACTGAGACACTTGAAAATCAAGAAGATCTTGAGGTATCTCTTAACATGTACATCTTATTTTCTCTAAAGTCGTAAATTATATGGCAGAACAATTGCATGTTTTATTACTTACATCTTTTTAAATCTAATAAAGTACCAAGTCGCATTATAATCTGATATATGGCAGCAAAATTCTTTACATAATAAAATATTAATCAAATAATAAAAGAAAGAACAAAAAAACTAATAAAAATAGACAGAATATAATATTAAGTACAATAGTAGTACATAGTGTTGAAAGTTGTTATTTACATTCACTCTGCTGACTCTTCGTTTTTTCACTCGCTCTAATTTTTTTCAACCACTGTTAACTAAATATAAAACATTTAAAGGAACAACTCTTTGTTTAAACGTAACTGATGTTAACTAAAAAACAGTGAACAACACACGTGGAAAATTAATTAACTATTTCATTTGTATAAATTATTATTTTTAATCAATTTATTAATTTTATCCATAATCACCTTATAATTGAAGTTTTATCCACACTTATGAACCGTATAAAGTACCACTTTATTCCACTAGTGGAATAATGAAAAATACAATCTTAAATCAATCACGTCCTATTTATATTAACATTAATATTTATATTAATAGACATTTCATTCTTTGATTTGTCATATATATCACTTTTTTTCATATTTCACCAACTTTACCTTTACAACTTTCACACTTTTACAAACATGTTACAGATGGAGTTGATAAACAATCGAAAATAAATAGCAACAATTCAACACCAAAAAAAAAACACAATAACTATTATGCATAATGATGACAATTAACAATTTGACACACATAGTTGTTTACATATATCAATTAAAACCATGATGATGTCAAAAACTGCTGTCGTCGCCGACATGTCGTCTTGAAATTACTCAGGAATTATCGAGTTTTTAACCCTTCATCTGTAAACGGTTTTTTAACACCTTCCGTCTGTAAAGGTGGGTCTTTCGGGTCCGGCTGTTTTTTTCATCCTGTTAATGCTCTCAAAAAATTTTATAAACAATTGAACAAAACGCTATACAGCACACGTGGGAAACTAATATTTTCCACTAACTTGTATGTCTTTCCACACTCGCCTTTGGCTTGTGTGGAATTCCGACATACGCGTGAATAAAAAATCATAGTTTCCTCACTCGTACTGTAATATACTATTGTATAATAGTATATTATTCAACAAGCGTATAATGGCGGCTGTTACCCACGAAGATGAAGTTGCAACACGAGCGAGTGTTGTAATCTGAGTGGGTAACATCCATTATACGCAAGTTGAATACTATACTTTATCTACAACTATTTAATTTTGAACAAAAATATCAAAAAAAGGAAAAAAAAAAACTTGATAGACATTTCAGACATAACCTCAATATAAGAAAGCTGTCATTTCTGTTAATATTTTATATTTTGATTGTAGGCCGTGTCAGAACTGTGGAATAATGGCTTCATTATTCAACACTTTGTCAGTCATGAGTAATGCGTATCATTACCCGCCAAAAATCAAATGTATAATGAATAGATAATTCAATAGTTGTAGATAAAATATTTTTTTCTCTCACAAACGGTTTGGCAACTATCGTCCGTCAGGATACTAATAACTCACCCTGTATATATTTTTTTTAAGTTAAATTATTTAATTTAGTTATTAATTTTTCAGTTAAGATACTGGTTTATGAAGTTGCATTTACAAATAATTATTGAAGTTATTATTTATTGTCACATATTATTTGTTTTATAGAGCCAAAAAGTTGGAGATACTGATATAGTAATGTGCGTAGAAAATCAACAACCTGAGACACTTGAAAATCAAGAAATATCTGCAAATGTTACTGTTTTAACCACACCTAATACAGCATCTACCTCCGATTTGCTGAGACCATCAATTGGACAATCTGTATCGCAAGATTTATTGCTGGGAAGATGGCGATTATCTTTGGACTTATTTGGGAGAGTTTTCATGGAAGATGTTGCATTGGAACCAGGTTCTATTGTCTCAGAATTGGGCGGGTTTCCCGTTAAAGAAGCAAAGTTTCGAAGAGACATGGAAAAACTCAGGAATAACCAACCCAGGGATTTAACTCTAGCAAAGGTTACTATCTAAATAAAAATATTATTTTATAATTCTATATTAGTTTATTATTTATTGTTGATTTTTTTTATATTATACAAAATAAAGTTAGGAATTTTGGATATTTCTAAATTTTTATTTATAAAAAATGACTTTTATTCTTTTAAATTTACTTATAAAAGTAAGTAATACTTGTAGTAGTTATTTTATTTGCTTATTTGAATTAACCCTGCTTAAATTAAGCTTATAATTTAAATTTATTTTTTTCTTTTAGATGGAACGTGACAGAACACAATTAATCTTACAAACATTCAAAGAATTAAACACTCAATATAGCACATATAGTCGAAGATCGTCTGCTTCACAACCACCTTTAGCAGTAAACAGAGTAAAGGTTACCTTCAAAGAAGAACCTGGAGAAGGATCTGGAGTGGCTAGAAGTTTTTATACCGCAATAGCTGAAGCACTTTTAGTAAACGAAAAATTACCAAATCTCGAATCAGTTCAAATCGGCACGAAATACAGTCCTCACTATAGCGTTCTTCAACGATTAAGAAGAGATCGTGACTTTTTACGACGACCATCACCCATGGGTAGAGGGTCGTCGCGAAGTCGTGAACATCACTATCGACGAACGATGAGCGTCGATGCAAGACCTTTTATTCCAAGTGACACAATTACAGAAAATCCTTCAATGCCCGAATTGGGTAACAGTAAGTTTTGTTTTATTTATTTATTTTTTTAGTTCATTTAGTTGTGAAGTTATTATCGGTTTGTGCTTAGCCTCATCTGGAAATACAAACGGCGGACAAGCTACACCTGTTCCAAACCGTAATGAACATTTAAATACTCATCAACAACAATTAGGAGAACGACTTTATCCAAAAGTAAGTGAAATTTTTACACAGTATCTAATTTGAGGAAATATTTTTTGACATTAATTTTTTATTAAACTTATTTAGGTTTATAATTTACATCCAACATTTTCTGGTCGCATAACCGGTATGCTTCTTGAGTTAACGCCAGCTCAAATTCTTCTTTTATTGGCTTCGGAAGATTCGCTTAGGGGTAAAGTTGAGGAGGCGGTTGAGATGCTTCTCGCGCACTCACAACCTCAACAAGAAATCGCTTCGGAAGCGCTTTTGGGTAAGTAATAGATAGCCGATATAGTGTTGGCGTAAACTTTGCCACACGTCCCCGTCCGTTTCTTCTAGACAACGTTGTTGTTGACACGTTTTACCCGGCAGATAGGAACTGTTCAAGGAAATCAAATCGTCCCGGTTCAGATGCGGGCGAAGACAGTTCTACAACAGATGACGAAGATAACGCACCTTTATTTTATTGTCCCGGAAAACGGGGTTTATACGCACCTCGACAAGGAAAAGGATCATACGAAAGGATTAATGCTTTTAGAAATGTTGGAAGGTAATTAATGTTTTATTATTTTGTGTGTGATTTAATTGAGTTTTATTATTTTTTAGATTGCTCGGATTATGTTTGTTACAAAACGAATTGTGTCCAATATTTTTAACTAGACACGTTTTGAAATATATTTTGGGACGTCCTGTAAAATTCCATGATCTGGCTTTCTTTGATCCAGTTATGTATGAATCTCTTCGACAATTAGTCGTAAACGCTGAGACGAAAGATAACGGATTATTTACTGCTTTGGATCTCAACTTTAGCATCGATTTGTGTGCTGAAGAAGGAGGCGGATCTTATGAATTAATGCCCGGCGGTAAAGATATGGAGGTCACTCCTTCAAACGTTTATGATTATGTCAGAAAATATGCTAAGTATAGAATGGTGAAAGCACAAGAAAAAGCAATTGAGGTATTATTCATAAATACAATAAAACCTCGATATAACTGACAAAATATTTTTGGTCATACTATTAATATTATTATTAAATATTAGCGCTCATAGACAGAATCCAATTCAGGTTATTCCCCAAGTTGCTCTATTCCATGTTCATAGCTAAACTCCTGGTATTCCCTGAGTTGTCTATATCAGCGTTCCGCCAACTTTTAAGTAGCGACCCAAAAATATTAATAAAATCTTAATATGACCCATAAGATGTTAATAAAGGGGATAATTACTGTTACAGAACATTAAACACAGTTTCAGCATAAATTTTTAGTCCTTTTAGTTAATATTTTTAGTATAATAATAATGCATTTCGATTACACAATACAAAACATAACAATATTGATTTTGAGATGAGCATTTCTTCTAAAATCAGTGACTTTTATGCTGTTGCATCTTGTTCGCCAGTTTATCTATCCTAGGTTCAACGGACTGATTTAATGTTATTCTCATTGTGGCATTGTCTACTTTATGCAGCTCTTTATCTTCAATTATTTGAAGATAACATGGGAACATATCAAATCTATCTATTCAACCTCTCCAAATATCAATTTTTTTGATAAAAGCTTCAACTTTGTTGCACATAAATAGGTTAGTCATCCACCCTTGCATTGATAATGTTAATTCATTAACTAACGAAAAAACAGCAGTTAGGTAAGCACCTTTGCAAGCCATACGTTGTTTTTGAGGTGTTCTGCTAGTGATGAATTTTGGTCATTTAAAAGTATTTCTATTTCGGTTCTTAAGTCAAAAAATCTTTTCAGTACCTTCCCTCTAGAAAGCCTGCGTATATGTAAATGTAGTAATAAAACTTTGTGTTTTGAATCTATCTTTTCACAGAATAAAGCGAACACTCGTTGCGCTATTACGAATATGATTTACAATTTTCACATAGTGATGAAAACTATGTCTAGAGGTCTTCGTTTATATTTTTGGATACCAACTGTTTACAATAAAGAATGCAGTGGGTTTTTGTTATATTTTTATGCGATAGTAGAAGAACACCTCTGTTTTTTCCTACCATCGCCGGTGCTCTATCTGTGCATATACCTATACATTTATTCCAAGAAATGTATTTAGACTCAAAGTATGAATTTATGGTAGCAAAAACGTCAGGTAGATGTAGTGTACAATTGTAGTTTTAAGATTTATAATAATTCCTCTTTCATGTATTCCAACTCAAAATCAATATTATTACTTGAAACATCTGTGGATTCATCTAACTGCAAGGAATAATATGGTGAATGTTCCAATTTTTTTTTAGTTGTAATTCCAGGTCATTTGAAATACTAAGTACTTTATTTATAAGTTACTTTATTAGTACTTCTCCTATATTACACGCTTTTTTAGTTTGAGCAATATGCAATGCTACTAAATAAGAACATTTCAAATATTTCTTATCTGTTCCAACATATTTAGTTAAACTTGATTTATTCACCTTCAAGTCTTTAAGTTTTCTTTTAAAAAATTCTGGTGGTTTATCATTGTATTCAACATGATTAGTTTCTAAATGTGTTAAAAGTTTATTAGATTTTAAAGATGCGTTTGCTAATACAGTTCCACACACAACACATTGTGGTAAATCAATATTATCTTCTTGTATAGACGTAAAGGTATTTATAAACAAATTTCTCCACTTCTTTCTTTTTTTAATGGTTCAGTTGTCTTGGTGGGAGTTTTATCTCAGTGTGTTGAACATTCTTCGTGGGAATATAATTAAATAGTGTGCTTTTCTTACTCATTTTCAGAATATAGGCTATTACCTATTGAGAAATACTTTAAAATTATTAATAAAGCTAGAAATAACATTAGCATTAGAACTAACAATAGACCTACAACTAGAAACATTCGGGTTTAGTCGTCTTAAGAGATGTAGGGCTAAACCCAAATGTAACTAATTCTAGGTCTAGTGTTAGTTCTAGTTATAATTGGACCGCGTTATGCATCACTTGACTAAGCAGCAAATGAATAATGTTGAGAAAAACGAGATTTTCGTTTTCATCTCTTTAAACAAGTAAGACTTCTCAGAATAGACAGGCTCAAACTATTGAAAATTGTTTGGTGTCTGTCTATTTTTATCGCAGAACACTGATGACAGCTATCACAAGCACAGAATCCGCTTGGTCAGTTGTTTCACGATTATACAGGTGTTTCTGTAAGTCGTGGCATAAATTTAATTACAAATACTAATACTAGAGTCAAAATGATGTTTCGTGTAAAAATTTTTGAAGAAAATTACCTAGAATTAAGTCTAACGAGTTTCGGCCCTTGGCCATCTTCAGAGACTCTACAAATAGATTACTATCTCTCATCTTATCCATTTTACAAACAAGTTTCTTAATATTTCTTTTTGTTTTGTTAAAAAAGATCACATATCAAAGTCGAAATCAGATTATTAGTTACTAATTTACAAAATTAAAACAATTGGCGTCAAAATCGACGATTTTTCTTAATCAATGTGAAATGACCCAAAAAAGTCGTTAAAAATAAAAAGAAAATGCGAAAAAGTTAAGTTCAACTTCACTTCTATTATATGATAACTAAGTTCAGGTTTAAAATGTCAACCTCAATTTTGATATATTTGTAATCTTCATTAAAAATCCTTTAAAACGAGTACAAACACGGTATATTTATCTTCAATATTAATGGAGTTATGGTCAACTTCCGGTTAAGAATGTCAACGTCAATTTTGACATATTTGTAATCGTGAAAAATCCTTTAAAATGAGTGCAAACATGATACGTTTAATTCCAATGTTACTCGAAATATAATATAAGCAACTTCCTGTTTGAAATGTCAATGTCATTTTAACATATTCTTAATTTTTATAAAATGTGTTAAAATTTGTCTCAAAAACGGAAATATAATAAAAGAAATTAAAAATTAAGGTTGGTATTAATATTTAAAAATTAAATTAAAATTCTAACTTTTTTGTTTTTTTTTGAGATAAGTGCGTCATCTTTGGACTCATTTTAAATTTTTTTTAATGATGACAAATATGTTAAAATTGACATTGACGTTTCAAACCGGAAGTGATTGTATTTCCATTAATATTAAAGTTAAATATGTCGAGTTTGGACTCATTCTAAAGGATTTTTTATGAAATTGACAAATATGTCAAAATTAATAGTTGAAAGTTCGAACTTTTTGGTTTTTTGAATTAAATGCGTCTGATAAATATTTGGACTAACTTTAAAGGTTATTTTATGAAGATTACGAATTAAAGTTGACATTGACAACTGAAAGTTTTTTTCACGACTAAACCCGAATGTTTCCAGTTGTCGTTCTAGTTTTAGTTCAATAAAAATATACAACAGTACAACATAGTAACACTAGACTGAGAACTAGAAACATTCGAATTTAGTCCCACGTCTCTCAAGACGGCTAAACCCGAATGATTCCAGTTCTAAGTCTTGTGTTAGTTCTAGTGATAGTGCTAGTGTAAAACTAGAACTAGAAAGTATCGGGTTTAGCCGTGCGTCCTCAGACTTCTAGGTCTAGTGTTAGTTCTAGTTTTTGTGCAATAAAAATATGCAACGTAGTGCTATTTTATGCTAACTAGCGCCATCTACCGCTGTCGTTTGTAAAATGGATAAGATTAGATATGTTAATCTATTTGTAGAGTCTCTGAAGATGGCCGAAACTAGTTAGACTTAAATTCTATATAAAAGACAAACTTTTAATTTTATACTAACATCTAGAAAACGACACTGGACCGAAATTGAAGGTTCATCTCAAGGACAGTAGAATCTAATAGGACTGCTACATCCATTGTATTTTTGTAGTCCACTACGAGTTGGTTGCCTGCACTCTACGTTACACTATTTGCCACGCCTGGTAACTGTCGGTCTTTTTAGAGGTTATATGATGAATGCGTCTAAAAACATAAAACTTCAAAAATAATATGAATACGTCTACAATATAACCTCTAAAAATACACAGCAAACGCATAAACCACAACAACAGCTGGGCGTAGCAAATGGTGTGACGTAGTTTGCGGGCAGGTTATCACAACAATAGATGTAGCAGTCCTGTTAGATTCTACTGTCCTTGGGTTCATCTATTTTTTCTATTGTAGAATTTCTTGGTGTATCTAAGTGTCTTTGTACAATATACCGATAAATCTACCTGATATCTATCCGACCGATAAACTTATCAGGAGGATAAAGATATTCGCTGTTGTACAAACTGTTCTTGCCGGTAGGATTGTTATGGGCGAAATAAGAGTCGGTTGGTAGTAGTTTTTCCCCATATCTAGTGATTTATGCCGTAGATTGGTGGTAACGCTAACGTCTAAAAAATTTCATGACCAACAACTGACACATCGTACATATAGGGTTAACGTTTAATGTTATAGGTTATAACCTATGCAGTAACCACACAAAGTTTTTATATAAAAACCTTGGTAACCATAAATATCTGGCGGATAACTGTCTTATCGGCACCACTGAGGGCCGGTTTATCAATGTCAAGTTAAATCTGTTAGATATGCAACTCATGGATAAACTTACCTAACAGATAACCTCAGTGAACCGTTTATCCAGCAACATTCTACCTGACAGGCAGCAACCTACAAGATAGAACATAGATGGTACCCCTGAGTAACAGAACATTAGAAACGGAAATGAAACGTAATTGGTGAAATTTGAATAATTGACTTTAGTTTGTGAAGTTGATATAAACAGCTGATGTTTTGGAGGTTATCATTTCCGTGTGCTTTCGGTATTGTGCTTTGTTTTCGAAAACCTCTTTTATAATGGAATTCCTACATGAATATTCATTAGACAGCGATAAAGATGAGGATATTGTCCAACTCTTAAATTATAAACGACGACCATATATTATAAAAGAAAGTCAAAACCACTTTGAGGAGTTGGACGACCACGTTTTTTTGTTAGATTTCGGTTAAAAAAGGATACAGTTTTGTCAATCTTGGTTAAAATTGAGACGAGATTATACTGTATTAGATTAGAGATTATATTCTTATTTTTTTTTAATTACTAGATTATTATTTATTTTCTATAACATTTTTATATTCGTTAGCCAAATCCATCAGCGAGTTCTTTGCTGCTGTACTAAAATTTGATGATCTTTTCTTTCTCTTGCTTATCCATCACCACAATTATAAGCTTAATTTATTTTTGACGTTATATTTTAATTTTATTGTCATTTCCTTTCACCAAGCAACCAAACTTGTGCTCACATTTTTTTGGCAATATCTAATAGGTAAACCCTTAACAAGTACTTCAATCTTGTGGGTATCCAAATGTCATATTTATCTATAAGATTACCCTAATTTTTATTGACAGATAAATCGTCTTAACTAGATATTGATAAACCGGCCCTTAGTACCCGATAAGTTATCCTGCCGATAACCTCACCGACAAAAATATCCGTACATTTTAATACAGTACAAACTAACTTATCGGCCAGATAACGCTGTCGGGAAGTTTATCGGTATATTGTACAACTGGCCCAAAGTGTCGAATTTAAGTCGGCTCTTAGACGTATGATGCAAATCGCAAATTTAAAACAAATAGTATTTTAGGTCCTTCGGTATTCTGCATTTTTTCTAAGATAAGTTACACCTTTGCCTACCAGGCAGCATGAAAAATCTCTAAAAGCGATAAAATGTCGCTTAGTCAAGTGATGTATAACGCGGTCCAATTGTTATTCAGCGTTAGATTGTTGTTTATTTTTTGAACTAACACTAGAACTAGAATCATTCGGTTTTAGCCGTCTTAAGACGTACCGCTAAACTCAATCAGAGACTTCAAACAGTTTAAAGTCCAAATTAAAAATTTCACATATTAACGGACTTTTGGTTATAACAGACAACTCTCTTCTCCGTATTAATCCGTTATATCGAGGTTTTACTGTAATTTTATTTTAATGACTCAATTTTAATTAAAATTTTTATTTAAGAATATTCGAACCGGAGTTTTTGATGTTCTTCCTGAAGGATCTTTAGATGGATTGACCGCTGAAGATCTTAGATTATTATTGAATGGTGTAGGAGATATAAATGTTGCAGTTTTAATATCTTACACATCTTTTAATGATGAATCTGGGGAGAGCAGTGAAAGATTGGTTAAATTTAAACGATGGCTGTGGTCAATTGTAGAAAAAATGTCTCATTTAGAACGACAAGATTTGGTAAGAAATCAAAACATTATAAAAAAAATAACAAAAAAATATCCAGGTCTAATAGTAATTAAAACTTTTTGAAAATCCTTTAATAATAAGATAAGATAAAATTCCTTTTATTTGATTTTCTAAAAATATGCTTAATTTTTTAAGGTATATTTTTGGACTGGTTCACCAGCATTACCAGCAAGTGAAGATGGTTTTCAACCAATGCCATCAGTGACAATCCGACCAGCAGATGATGGTCACTTGCCAACAGCAAATACATGTATTTCCCGCCTTTACATCCCGTTGTATAGCAGCCGAAGCGTGCTAAGACAAAAACTTCTGCTCGCGATTAAAACGAAAAACTTTGGGTTTGTGTGATTCGCGCTCGCACGACCGTTAGTGTTTTTTGACTTCGTTCGACGAGAAAAAGAAAGAAAGAAAAATACAGCATCACGAGATGTATCATTTCGCATCATGTCTTTTTGTAATTACACGTACAAAGTTGCGTACATTAAAATTGAAACGTTACTTTGAGACTTTGGTCGAATTCCTCTTCCGGCGCGGATGGAAAACGATCTTGAATCGTGTACATAATGGCGCGTTTTTTTTTGAAACTCGAAAAAAAGGAAAATGGCAACACTATGATATGTATATTATTATAATAATGTAGACCATAAATGGACTTTGTTTATTTTGTTATAGTTGACTTAGATTTAGTGTCGTTTCCCCCTTTTTTTAATTTAATTTGTTCAAGTAATGATTTCGAATTTTCTCCAATTTCGAAAATTTTTGAAACGATGTGAAACGCATACCCATTTTTTTAAGGTTTTTATTCACAGGGTTATTACACTTCTTGTTTAATTGAATTGGTTTTTTTTTCTAAACGCTTGTGTTAAAAAATATTTTTTTGACCAATAAAAGTTATACTATCAATAATAAGGGAATTGTTTATTATTAAAAAAATACCTAGAAAACAGTTTTTTTTACTATTCAGACATCGGAAAATTACAACTCAATTTTTTTATTACATTAATTTAATCTAAATCCTATTTACTCCTTTTTCCACAGACCTTTCTAATCTTTCAGCGATAGCTTCCAAGAAATCTTGAGTATTAAGGAACATTCCGTCTTTAAGATTTTTCAATCCATGGATAGACGCCGCTAAATCTTTGGTCATTTTTCCATCTTCAACGGTATCAACGCATGCGGTTTCTAAGGTTTGTGCGAAATTCGCTAAATCTGGTGTTCCGTCCAATTTAGCTCTATGTTCTAAACCGCGCGTCCATGCGAAAATAGAAGCGATTGGATTTGTGGAGGTTTGTTCCCCCTTTTGGTGCTGCCTATAATGTCTTGTTACCGTTCCATGTGCGGCTTCAGATTCGATTGTTTTTCCGTCTGGGCACATAAGCACGGAAGTCATCATACCTAATGATCCATAACCTTGGGCTACGATATCCGATTGGACATCACCGTCATAATTTTTGCAAGCCCAAACAAATCCGCCGTTTGATTTTAACGCTTGGGCTACCATATCATCAATAAGACGGTGTTCGTACCAAATCTTTTTCTTTTCAAATTGTGGTTTGTATTGTTTATCATAAATTTCTTGGAAAATATCTTTGAAACGTCCGTCGTATTTTTTCAAAATTGTGTTTTTCGTGGATAAGTACAAAGGCCATCCTTTTCCTAAGGCCACTTGGAATGATGAGTGAGCGAAAGCGCTTATACTTTCGTCGGTGTTGTACATTCCCATTGCAACACCTCCTCCTTTATAATTGAAAAGATCGTATTTTTGAACGGTACCTTTGTTATCGGTGAATACCAATTCAACTTTTCCTGGGCGATCCACAACGAAATCTTTGGCTTTGTATTGATCACCGTGAGCGTGACGACCAATAACGATAGGTTGAGTCCATCCAGGTACCAATTTAGGTATATTTTTACAAAGAATCGGCTCCCTAAAAACGGTACCACCCAAAATATTTCTGATGGTTCCGTTTGGAGACAACCACATTTTCTTTAATTTAAACTCCTCTACTCTTTGTTCATCTGGGGTTATTGTTGCGCATTTTATTCCAACGTTGTGTTTTAAAATTGCGTTTGCAGCATCAATCGTTACTTGATCATCAGTCTGATCTCTGAATTATAAAAAAATTAATTTTATTTCGATTATATTAATTATGTTATACCTGTAGGGTAATCCTAAATCGTAGTATAAACATTCGACTTTTACGTATGGAAAAATGAGACGCTCTTTAATTTTTTCCCAAATAATTCTTGTCATTTCATCCCCGTCCATTTCAACGATAGGATTTTTGGCCACAACCCTTGATTTTGATCCATCTAGTAATAAAGAAAAACTTTATTTCATAATATTTACAATAAACAAAATGATGCACGTGCAAAAACTCGTTTTTATTGAAGCAAAAAGATAACATTTTAGAGTTTAGATAAGGATTAGACAACAACCATATTTTCAAAATTATTCCATTAAATCGCTTATCTATAAACATTCTAAAGATAGAAAATTCTTATATAATTCTTAGATTTTTTTAATGCCAAAGGAATAAGGAAAAGAACCAAATAAGGAGAAGGAGAAAATAATATAGTAATGAGGATTCAAAGGAAGACTTGGACACGGAGCATCTATTGTGGCGAATTCTAACAGGAGATTAAGGATTGGGGAGGAGGATCTGGATGGAACAAGAGATAACAGTGGAAAGGGACTCAAGATACGATTCCCTACAGACCCAAAACCATGGTATGCAATAAATGAATCTTTATTTTTCAATTTTTTCATCTAATAAATCTTTTACTCCACTCTTCTCCTTGTTTGGAAAAAAAACCAAACAAGGAGAAGAGTGTGGAAATAAGGAAAAGGAGAGAATAATGACGATTTAAAGGAGGAGCTGGACGCAGAGCATCTATCTTGAAAATGATTGTGACGAATTTTAACAGGAGATTAAGGAGGGAATAATGTAATAATAATGGACGCGCATAGGAACAAGAGGACTCAAAGGAAGAGTTGGACACGCAGCATCTATTGTGTCGATTTAGAACAGGAGATTAAGGATGGGGGAACAAGATATGGATGGAACAAGAGATAACAGTGAAAAGGGAATAAAGCTCCGATTCCCTACAGACCTAAGACCATGGTATGCAATAAATGAATCTGAACTTTTCAATTTTTTCATCTAATAAATCTTTTAATGTTTTATTTCAAAAAGCAAACTTTACCTTAAACTTATTTTTTACATTTAAGAAAAAGTTTAATCTTATTACGACCTAAACACTCATTTATTTATTTAACTCAATTTCTTTCTTTTTTATTCAAGAAGATGGAGAATGATTAAAAAGAAGTCTCCCCCAAAAAAGTAATTTCCATATGTACAGGACCGGTTTGCACGTGTTCGGGTTGAGCGGCGTCTGACATGAGAAGACTCACGGGTTAGTGGCCCTTCGGTGCATCGTCCCCAAAATGAAGTAAACCTGCCCTTGACTTACAAGAGCGTCCGGATGTCTTGGTCTAGGTAGATGGGTCAAACCGTCTAGACTCCCAGCCCGGTCCGGCAGGCAACCTCATAAATTTTTAACTCAGGGTAATCATCCTCAAAATATTTTTGAAAAATAATCAAAAAAAAAATGTATAATTTAATTAATTTTAAAAATTTATAATGATCTTTGATTCTATTATTTATAAATTAATTGCACTATAGTACGGTTTACGTTCCGGGTCATTAAAGTGCACTTTGAATCTTAATCACTATCGAAAACTTAAACTTGGTAAACACGTGTTTTAAAAAATTCTACAAAAAGTATTTTATAAAAAAAATATGTTTTGAAAAACTTACACTTCCTGTTGGATAGCGTGGACGAGGTAAAAAGACCTTGTTTTTGGGTAGCTTGGTTAAAAACCCTTGAAAATTTCGTTAAAGTTCCTGCCATTCTAACCTCTTCACTTTTCCAAATTTCGATTTGACTACAAGAACCGAAAGAGAGCTGCTCGCTGAATCTTCTGAATGGACTCGCGAGGCAATGCAGCTCTCGACACTGGCACTGTACTACATATTAAAAGGCAGGCGGGATTAAATGTGGGAGTCCGATTTTCTTCGAAAATTAACGAACGTCGTTTGCCTCAGCGTATCTCACTATGTTCACACAATAACCAACTTACATTTTCAAATACAAATTTATAACATTCAAAACATATTTTATTTTACCTGTTTTTGTAGAATTTTCAAATCTAATTTATTGATTTGAGACCATCAAATTGATCTCGTTATTTATTTTTGTTTTAAAAAAACTTTATTCATATTAATTCCATTTCATTTTGTCGATTAAGGTATTAAACCTTAAATTTTATATCTTTTAATTTGATAGGCATTTAATTTGACAACGTTTACGTCTTTTTAACAAGTAACTTCATTTTATTTTATTTAAATTTGATTTTTTAATTATTTTATGAATTATACTTGTATAACAATCTTCAAATGGTCATTATTGATGTTTTAAGCAAAATTTAACATAGTCTCTGATGATGGCCGAGCGCCGAAACTAGTCAAACTGAATAATTAACAATTAAAGACCAATTAAACTACAAAATTTATTTTTTTCCTTATTTAATTTGACGTTTCACCTATAAAAACATTTTTTTAATCTTTTTTGCATTTAAATTATGTTTCAAATTTAATTCATGTTTCAAAAAACCATAACCTAAAAATTTTGATTCATCTCTCTCAATTTTTTATTAACATCTCATTCCAATTTTGTACTTATCTTAAAACTAACTTGTAACTTAATTCTGCATTAATTTTTTTCGTTTTTTTTTTAGTTCTGAATTAACAATAAGATGTTGTTTCGTAGTTGGTTATCAAGTGAACGTAGTAAACGTAGTAGAACACGAGTTGCCGGAGCGGTGAGTGGTTCGAACTCGGTTTGCTGCCGGCAGTTTGAGTTTGGCTTCCATCTGACTCAACAAATCAACGGGGACAGCATCGAAAGGGCTCGAACAACCCCCGGAAAAGATAAACGAGGTCACTTTCATTGAAGATTTCGTAAAGACGTTGGCCGGACGGGCTCTTCGTCACTTCAAAAAAATCTCTCGAGATAATCGAGCGGGTGTTCTATCTCGAACAAGGTGAGTTCTATTCTATACATATCAAATTTTTATTTAAAAAAATTTCGGGTAGATTCTTTCCGGATCTCCAGGTTAGTTGATTATATTTTTAGCCGATACGATTCGTCGTCTAAATATAATGCCTTGTTTTTAATACTGTGTATATAAAAGACGCGAAGATATTCTCTTAGTTTGGTGTTACACGTGGGTCTCAGTTTAGTTTTATTTTTTTTTACTCTTTTAAGGTTTCTTTTCTTTTTTTATTTATTCTTGTTTTGATGGCTTTAATTATAATTCTTGGGTCGTTTCGTTTAGCTTTATTTGGCTTTTATTTTTTTATTAATACAAATACCTATTTAACAGTGATAAATCTACTTTTTTTTAGAAAATCAATTTTAACTAATATATTTTATTAACTTTAAAAACAACAATTGATACATTAAATGTCAAAATGACATTTCTTATCTTATGTTTGATGTTTTAAACGTTAAAATACTTTTTTTTGTCAAAAATATCATTAAAAGATATCTTTTCTTTTATTTTTAATAAGTATAAAAATTTAACTTCAAAGTCTCAGGTGATTGACTTTGGCACTGGTATATTTATAAAGTGAGTCATTAAGTTCTTAAACTCGCATTATAAATTTAAAAACTTTTTGTACAAATTTTAATATAATTTGAGAAAAAATTTTACGATGTTCTTTAACTCTCAACGCTACCGAGGAAGTTGATATTTGCCTCAACCGATCCATTGAGTAACCAAATCATATCTGTAGGTTCATTTGAGATGAATGTATTCGATCTTTAAACACATTCAGATAAAAAATCTGATAGAATTTTCGTAAACATGTCGTGACGTCTACTGGTGGAGGACGTGACGCAAATTAATTAATTAAATAATATTAAAAATTGAACTAGTAATTCAAATACATCAGATTATGTATCAGACAAGATTATATATCATCAAAATCGGCAATTCGATATCTAATACACAACACACGGTGTTGTAATATCTCGGCTTAATCTCGATCCCCGCAGACAATCTTTATCAATCCTATAATTAATACTTAAGTCTGGTTTATCAATAATTGTGCGTGATATTGAAAAAAGTGTAAATCGCATAAACCAAATTTTATAATATATAGAAGCCCAATACACAACTAACTGGTATACATTAAAACAAAACCTAGAAAATGCAATTTCATTCATATACACTAAACTCTACTAATAAATTTTTTTCTTCCGATGATTTTACGTTGATATTGTCTTAATCTTAACCAGTTAATTAGATTTTTTTTAATTTTTAATCCATATTTGTTATTTTCAAAGAATTTGTGTGAAAGTACAGTGGAACCTCGGTATACGACTGCTTTAGAATACGTCCTTTTTTAACGAAACGAATTTTGCTCGGTATGAGACATTTATTACAAAAAATGTTGGTGAGAATTTTGCTTCATTTTTAACTACATACATATTTTAATGTACATACATATTTATTACCTTTTTAATAACTTACACATTTTTATAAGACAATTAATGAATTTAATTCAATAATACGCGCCATCTTTGAACCAGTAGCGCTATAATGTCTATACTAGGGGGAATCCGGGATTCCCCTCTATGCGTGAATTTAGTTTTTAAGACTTCATTTAAAGTGAAGAGTTTTGGTAACGAGAGTCGATGAATGTACTAAATCTCTTTCGGTGTAGTAAATCTGTTAGACTTCGCGATTTATAAGTTCTGATTATAAATTTTAAGTAACATTTTATTAGTATTATTACTGATAATGAATTTCAAGAAGGAAAAATCTAAAAAAATGACAAGAATCACAATTGAGCTGAAAAAAGAGATTGTTAACAAATATGAAGGTGGCATTCGTATTCGAGATTTAACTCTTGCGTTCATTATATCTGCTAACGTTGCAAAAGGGGTTCATCAATTTCTAAACAGAGATCGAAAACATTAGATTATGTTGTGAAATTACTTTTGCTCTGGATAACAGAAAAACAATGTGCTGGCGCCAGCGTATCAGAATCAATGATTTGCGAGAAAGCTAATAAGATACATGCTGATCTCGTGAAAAGCTAAGCAGGAACTACCCAGGAAAGGGAAATGTTTAAAACCAGCCATGGTTGGTTTGCGAATTTCAAAAAAAGAAGTGGTATTCATAATGTTGTACGACATTTTGAAGAATTTGTGGAAAGTGAGTGATTTAGTCCCCAGCAAGTTTTCAATTGTGATGAAACTGGTCTGTTTTGGAAGAAAATGCCAAATAGGATCTATATCACACAAGAACACAAGAAATTACCAGGATACAAGTCAATGAAAGATAGATTAACTTTACTGTTTTGCGGCAATGCTTGTGGGGATTGTAAAATGACGCCTTTACTGTTCTGAAAACCCTAGGGCATTTAAAAAACATAAAGTCCAGAAGTCTCAGCTGCCTGTTATGTGGAGATCAAATGGCAAAGCTTGGGTAACGAGACAATATTTCACTGAATGGTTTAACGTTGTGTTTGGACCAAGTGTTAAACGTTATTTCGAAGAAAACAATCTATCTTTGAAAGCTCTTCTACTCCTCTCGTTCAGCCTATGAATCAGTAAGTCATAAGTAATTTCAAAAAACTTTATACTAAACCTTTATTCCACAAGTGCTTTGAAGTAACCTCTGAAATAGAATTAACCCTGACAGAGTTCTGGAAAAATCATTTTAATAATGTACAAGCTATATCGCTGATTGATAAAGCTTGGCAGGAAGTTTCTCACAGAACAATGAATTCCGCTTGGAGAAACTTGTGGCCACAAGCAGTAACCGAAAGAAATGTTGAATATAGGAGCTCTATAGTAAAGGATATTGTTTCCCTAGCCAGATCTATGGAGCTGGATGTATATGATGATAATGTAGAAGAATTACTGGAAGAACATAATCAAGAACTGACCACTGAGGTGTTACAGGAAATGGAAAACGATGAGCATCAGACTAGAATGGATGGACTCTCTTCTGACTCAGATGAAAAAGAAATAGAAGAGGCTTCTTCATCATTAATCAAAGAAATCCTTGCAAAATAGATCGACGTGAAAAATGTTGCAGAAAAATACCACCCTAACCAAGTTCAAACAAGTCGTAACAGCATCGCTTGGCGATGATCAATCCCCAGCCCTTATTTAGCTTTACCCAGCGTTTATTAAAGTAAGAATTAATGTCCAGGAATATTCCAGCAAATTATGTAACCCACTTAAAGCAGCCAATACACAACAGATTGATCTCTTAGTCTCATTGAAAACCAATTTGGTTATGAATTGGTTATGATAATTTGGTTTACGCAAAGAAAACTTGTCCATAAATTTTTGACGTATATGAAATCATATCTCAAGTCATTACTTTAATTTTAGAGATTATCGACGACCAAGTACTATATACACCAAGTACAACACATAGAATACCACACCCAGTATACAGAATCAAAAAGACTTTAGAAGAAGCCTAAGGCTCTAAACTACATAATAAAGCAGGGCGGAGTGCTAAAAAGAGCATGATAAAACTAACAGGAAATTAAATACATCTATCAGCCAAATTAATACTTGGTCCAATAGGTGGCGTATTAATAATAATAATAAACTTTATTGTGCACCATAAGATTCTACATATTTAAGAAAAAAAATACATGAATTAAAAACAAAAGGGCACAAAAGGCGGGTTAGAACTTTAGTCTGTTCTAACCAATCTATAATCAAAAAAAAATAAAACAAATAAAAAAATAATAATATACAGAAAAAAGCAAAAACAAAGTAGTATATACACAAAGAAAAAAAAAGAAATGAAAACAATATAAAAATAATAATAATACTAGCAAAATATAAATAATAATATAAAAAAAACATAACCAACAGCGACAACAGGATGCACACCAAATGCAAGATCACGAACAAAAAATATTTAAAAAAAAAGACAGCATTGTAAAGGGGACAAATTTAAATGGCCTGCAAACCTGCCAGTCTTTCACCTACCCGCGTTTTGAAACCTGTCGTACTTAACTGACAATGGCAGGCTTCCGTAAGATTTGTAGACATGATAGGTGAAAGAGCGCTGGAACAATGATGTTCTTTACTTTGGTGGCACGATTGGAAGGGCAAACCTGGTTGGATATCTCCCATCTTCTGACTTAAAAGTTATTTTGTCATAGAGGTACCGCGGCGTCCGAGTTTTAACGATCTTATGAAAAAGCATCAAGCTAAGCAGTTCGCGCNCATTCTGAATAAAATTTCTTAGTAACATTTTACCATACTGTAAACAGAAAAGGTACTTTACCTGACACACAAGAAGTTTTAGCTTCAGTATCAACACTCACTTGTTTTTTAAAATTTGAAAATATGTTCAAAATTAGTCTTTAATCAAGCAGGCCTGAACCCCAAAAGATGACAGTTAATATCGAAAAAAATTTACATTTTATAAGAGTCGTTTCACCTATCCGGGGACACACTGTAGAATTAAAGACAGAATCAAAAAGACTTTAGAAGAAACCTAAGGCTCTAAACTACATAATAAAGCAGGGCGGAGTGCTGAAAAGACCATGATAAAAGCTAACAGGAAATTAAATACATCTACCAGCCAAATTAATACTTGGTCCAATAGATGGCGTATTAATAATAATAATAAACTTTATTGAACACCATAAGATTCTACATATTTAAGAAAAAAAATACACGAATTAAAAACAAAAGGCGGGTTCCAGATTTTAGTCTGTTCTAACCAACCTATAATCAAAAAAAATAATAATATACAGAAAAAAGCAAAAATAAAGTAGTATATACACAAAGAAAAAAAAAGAAATGAAAACAATATAAAAATAATAATAATANTTTTATTAGACAGCGTTAACAAACAAGCAATACTCAAGTTCCTATGTTAAATCAGCAAAATATTTGAGAATGACATTTGACGCAAGATTACCGTGGAATATGAGTAAATAAAATAGAACCTAAAGATTAGTAATCAAGTTTCTGCCCTATAATTGGACCGAG